CAGCTACTGAACAAATATTTTTAAAAGCTGATGATCTCATCCACACAAGCAACATACGTGCCAATTACAAGCATACCCTGTTCAATGGTTTACAACCATTCACAAAAGGTAGACGATCGGAGACGGTAATGTGGATGACAAGCCGGAAATTTTAATTAACCAGTTGTGTCAACTCTCCTTGCCTGTATTCGAGACTGAATCTGATCCAAAAGTACAAAGGATATGCTCCCCATAGTCGAGGGTTGCATATAAACTGCGAATGAACATAAATTTACACACTACCGTTGCTGGTCTTGCCATACACACAGGTCATGTCGCGAAGAGACGATCGAAGACCAGACGAGCAATGAATGATGTTTAGTTATACAATTCATCATCAGCAGCCGCAAACGCTGGTTCCGCAACAGGAGCACCTGCATCTTGAGCAGGTAGATCTGGGAACCGGAACTCCGAACCAAATCCTCGTGATTGCTGCAATGTTTGAGCAAACGCTTGATATTTCCGGATATCTGCATCGCTAACACTACGTCGGGCGAACTTCATGGCCTCCTCAAAATGGCTAGCCTTGATTTCGGCTACTTCCTCAACCTCATCCTCTTCCATGGCCTCTGGGTTCTCAGCTCGCTTCTTGTCCTTCTCAATATCCTGCAGCAGTAGTGAAAGCAGTTAAGGTATTGATTATGCGACGTCACAAACATCCCATCCAGGCATCGAATCAAATAATAATGAAGAAAGAGAATACTACTTAGTACACCAAGTGTGTCTCCAAACAGTGGAGTGGCCTAAACCAACCTACTCAATATTTTCTCGAATGGCGTATTTATAGGCACGCTGGCAGATTTCAGTGATATCAGCTCCACTAAAACCTTGAGTGTATCTTGCAAGAGCTTCCAGGTCCACTTCTTTTGCCAGAGGACTGTTTCTCAAAGCAGCCTGGAAGATTCTCAATCTTGAAGTCCTAGAGCAGCTGGTGGACACGAGGGAAGACGTTGTGATTTTGTGTGACAACACAAACGACTATGTGATCCTCAACAGGGTGGGCGATGCTGGCATTATGGTAAAAGTGATCCATGATCTTCGCCGATGCTGTATTACTAGAGGAGACTCTCCTAGATTTGCCAAGTTCTGCAAGGAAGTGCAGCAGTGTTATAAACGGAGGAGGAAGCGATGGTTGTGGCAGTTTGTGGAGACATATTTGAATAAGCCCTGGAAAATAGCTTCACTCCTCGGTGCGGTATTGCTGCTCGCGCTAACAGCCCTCCAGACTATATATTCCATGCTCTCCTTCTACGGCATTCAGACGCTGTCGGACTGACTCCATTCCTCAAAGCTGCTGCGCAGTCCGTCAGCTGTACATAATCTGCGAATTTATACCATACCTCCTGACTTAGGCTCTTAAAATACGTACAAAAATATTTCATGATATATGTTTATCAACCATATACACTTTTAGTTATAATTGGTCAACATAATATAATGACATTTTTTTTAAATGTATAAGACTTACAATTTTTTTTCATTTCTTTAAGAATAAGATTATCATATACTTCGAATTTTACGGAAGACATCAAATTATTTGATTTTTTCCAATCTAAATTTATGACATTTTTTTCAAAAATATGTATGGGATTATGGAAATGAGATGAAATGTGAAACTTTTTACATTGATTTAATATGAATATAAATTTTATTTTCTGCTTTATTTTCAACATATTCAGTTTGAAATATATTTTTAAATCAATTGAACCTTATTAATTTTTTGTTTTATATTTTATATTTAAAGTAATAATATGAGATAATATATGTAATGAAATACAAACATAACAAACATATGAGATTAACATAAAATGTGAAGTAAAACTCAAATTTAAATTTTTTAAATAATCAAAATGTAATTAATATAATTTTTTTCAATATTTAATTATTTTAGTTGTATTCATTAAAAAATTTCATCAGAAAAAATCCAAATTTATGAGTTAGTTTCATAAATAGCATTATTATATATTAAAATTCATATGAAAGAATTTTTTTAATAAAAATATTTTTATTCATCAATATTATGTTAAAAATGAAATAAAGAAGTAATTGTAACAAACCAGATTCAATACAGTAATCAGATTTGTACACACTTGATGTGATATTTTTAGTGTCATGTCAATCAAATAATGTTATTTGTTTGATTGTGTAACTACAAAGACTTATGTTGGAATCATTCATATTATTTATTTTTATTGATCATGTATTTATTATTTCTTGATAAATTATGTACATTTGTAATAAATTAAATTTATTTGTTTTAAGATTAAATTTTTTATATCAGTAAAAATTTGAATTAATTGTGAAAAATATTATTTTATTACAAATATGTGATGTTAAATTTTACCAAACTATGTCTTATTACTTGCTGAATCATATTTATTTCAAAAAAAATTTATTTTTAAATTTTTTTGCTAAACTGTAAAGTTAAATGATGAAAATAAAAATCCATCCCACTCTCTAACTAAAATTCAAAGCATAACAAAATGCCTTCTTCCATTCATTCTTGGATTGAAAAACTGTAATCAATCGTTCAAATTTATTATTTATACATTGAGTAAAATTTTATATTTATAATTTTATAAATGAAATTTTAATACTTATTATTATGGAAATTTCAGTTTGAAACTATTTTAAGCTCAATAATAAGATTGCGATCGCTTATGTTAAAAATAATTGCTATAAAATTTAGGTAAATTATTAATGCATTTGGATAAATATGAGCATAGTGTAAAAAATAAAATCAAAATTATCTTTTTATTAGTTTTATATTACATATTGACATAATATAATATTTTCTTTATTATAATGAAATTACTTATAAAAATATTTAATCTGAATAAATACATTTCATCAATATTATATAATTTCCAAATGTAAAAGACAGTATTGATTATATAAATCATCATGATATTCAAATATAGAAAAAAATTTACTCAAATTTTACAAATATATATATAATAATAAATTACTATATTGATAATCTCAGCCTAAAATTCATTTGATGCAGGAGATTAATTCAACATATCACAACTTATCTACAACACTATTAGATAGAGACTTTGAGAAAGAGAGTTTTTTTGCAATGTATAAATTGTGATGAGATGACAAATAATTCTTAGTAGTAATTTTGTGATAGGAGTTATTCAAGTCACTGACTGTGGCCAACTTTTGTAACTGTGGGTTAAATGTATCAGAATAATCAGTTTAAGGTTTTGATGTATTGATTGTGTCTTTGCTATAATATTTAATGCGGCGAGTCTGCGGGTTAAATGTATCGGAATAATCAGTTTAAGGTTTTGATGTATTGATTGTGTCTTTGCTACAATATTTAATGTGGCGAGTCTGCTTGTCGCAACTAACATTATCTGCTCGTGTTAGCTAGAAGGGCAAATCACATTAAATCATCTGAATCTGTCATGAATATTATATGTTATGATTTTGCCGTGAGTTTCAACCAATAATTGGTATCGGAGTTGAAGTTTGAGAATCTCGAATTATGTTCATATCATCTTTGCCGCGTGCCTGTCCCTACTCTCGCTGGCCAGCAAGATGGAGTACTTTTCATAGTGCCATTCATTAAGCAAGTGATAACTAGTCTTGTGAGGTGATGACAAGACGTTCATCGAGAATTAGAATCAAAATTGTAAATCTCATAAAGAAGAAGTGCGCGGAATGCAGGTTCAGATCTTGGGATGGTTAAGAGATGTTCAACTTTTGGTAGTTGCATGAGTACATTATGAAGTTACTGAAAACAATGTACATGATTCAAAATTCAAAAAACAAGTTTTATCAACAAAAGCTTGCCACGAGACCATGCATATTTGGTCTAATGCTTACTCTTGTTTCTTATGTATAACCTAAGATTATGCTTTATGCCTGTCTCCTATCTTTTTTTCAGCAAAGTATTTTCAATAATTTGATTCCAACGAATCAAGATTGAGCGATGTCAAGTCACACTGGCTGGACATCGCATCTGGAATTGATGTAATTTAATGAAGACAAGTAATTGATGTAATCGATTCTCAATTATAGTCTCAATATTTCCCGCTATAGGCTCCTTATTATCCCAAAATCAGCACCCACTGTTCTGTTCCTCGTGTGTCATCCAGGGTTATCCATGTGACTTGCAATAATTGATATTCTAAATGTACATTACTTCCAACTTTTTATGCGGAAGTGGTCATCTTCACGGGAAAATCAAGGGATTGTATTAAAGTTGTAACAAATCATGCCGTCAACCATAACCTCTTCTTTCTGTTGATTATCTGTTTTATGAAGGTATTGGTCGATCCACTGAACTTCTCGGGGGTATACTTTCTCAACCCCGAAACTGACATCTGATCTGAAGGCTTAAAAATTTACAGATACTGAGATTTTCATAAGATGTCTCAACCTCTTTTCCGCATCTTCGAAACGCAGCACTTGACTTTGAGGTTTGATTCCTCCATTGAAGATGTTGGATCTGATTGTAACGAAAGCATCAAACCTACAGCTTTCCCGCCCATCTGCGTTTCGCCTTTGCTGCTTCCTTTAATCCTCTTCGTCCCGACGTTTCTGCTACTGTCTACATAGTAAATGTTCCTCTGTTGATTGACCGGACAAAGAGGACTGTAACCCGATATCTGCCTACGTCAAAAACATCAATTGGACCACTCCAAAATTGACGCGAGAATTAGAGGACCCGAAGAGGTTTTAATTTTGGCCTCAGGATGCTGTGTAGAATTCATCAACCTACACGGTTCACATCCTCTGGAGAGGACAACACGGAGTCATCTCGAATTCAATCATTGTAAACATCCATATATCACCGTTAAAAATCTCCTGTAAACTAGCACCTGTTAACCAAACATTTTTAGAGCTGATAATCTCACCCACACGCGCAACATACGTACGAATTGCAAGCATACCCTGTTCAATGGGTTACAACCATTCACAAAAGGTAGACGATCGGAGACGGTAATGTGGATGACAAGCCAGAAATTTTAATTAACCAGTTGTGTCAACTCTCCTTGCCTGTATTCGAGACTGAATCTGATCCAAAAGTACAAAGGATGTGCTCCCCAGAGTCGAGGGTTGCATATAAACTGCGAATGAACATAAATTTACACACTACCGTTGCTGGTCTTGCCATACACACTGGTCATGTCGCGAAGATACGATCGAAGACCAGACGACCAATGAATGGAGTTTAGTTATACAAATCATCATCATCAGCAGCCGCAAACGCTGGTTCCGCAACAGGAGCACCTGCAGTTTGAGCAGGTCGATCTGGGAACCGGAACTCCGAACCAAATCCTCGTGATTGCTGCAATGTTTGAGCAAACGCTTGATATTTCCGGATATCTGCATCGCTAACACTACGTCGGGCGAACTTCATGGCCTCCTCAAAATGGCTAGCCTTGATTTCGGCTACTTCCTCAACCTCATCCTCTTCCATGGCCTCTGGGTTCTCAGCTCGCTTCTTGTCCTTCTCAATATCCTGCAGCAGTCGTGAAAGCAGTTAAGGGATTGATTATGCGACGTCACAAACATCCCATCCAGGCATCGAATCAAATAATAATGAAGAAAGAGAATACTACTTAGTACACCAAGTGTGTCTCCAAACAGTAGAGTGGTCTTAAACCAACCTGCTCAATATTTTCTCGAATGGCGTATTTACAGGCACGCTGGCAGATTTCAGTGATATCAGCTCCACTAAAACCTTGAGTGTATCTTGCAAGAGCTTCCAGGTCCACTTCTTTTGCCAGAGGACTTTTTCTCAAAGCAGCCTGGAAGATTCTCAATCTTGAGGCCTCGTCAGGCAGAGGAATGTAAATGAGCTGGTCCAACCTTCCAGGTCTGAGGAGAGCTGGGTCAATGATATCTGGCCTATTGGTAGCACCGATGATAAACACCGTCTTCTTTGCGTTCATACCATCCATCTCAGTAAGCATTTGGTTCAAGACCCTGTCAGCAGCACCCCCGGCATCTCCCACACTGCTTCCACGCTGTAGCACGCAAGTACAAATTATCAGTAAAGTACTTCCACGACTTAGTGGGAGAGAGCAATATCGTAGAGTTGTATGTGACTTCTAAAGTTCGGATACAGGCGTACGCACAGACATCAATTTATGCATAGCTCTTGACCCAGAAGGAGGCCTTGGATTAACTTTCTTCGGAGGCTTTTCTACCCTCACACTTCTAACTACTATACACGAAAAAAGTAGTCCGAAGACACGACTTACTTGAGTAGCTATTGAGTCCAGCTCGTCGAAGAAGAGAACACAAGGGGCTGATTGTCGAGCTTTGTCAAATACGTCTCGGACATTTGCCTCACTTTCACCGAACCACATGGTCAGAAGCTCCGGTCCTTTCACACTGATAAAATTCGCCTGACATTCATTTGCAATGGCTTTCGCAAGAAGAGTTTTACCACAACCAGGAGGTCCATAAAATAAAACACCTTTAGACGGAGACATGCCAAACTTCTCAAACTTCTCCGGATGCTCCACAGGATATTGTACAGTCTGCACGACAATAATACTCGTTAGACGTATCCAGGAATTGAACACTGCTGTCCAGCATCCTATCATGTAAAAAAATACCACCTCATCCCTTATTATCTCAAATATACATTGAAATACTTCTACATCGTGAAATTTCAAGCAGGTCATACGTGAGCGTCCTTATTGAATGATTACCTCCTGTAGCTCTCTTTTGACATTGTCCAGACCGCCAACGTCGTCCCAAGTTACATTCGGCACCTCCACAACCTGAAAGAATCAGTTCAACGGCGTTAAAAACCTCCACTTAATACATGTGGCCTTGGTTAGTACGTAAAGACTTCACAGTCAAACTAGGTGGCCGGAAACCAGGACATTAGCTACCAGTTGCATTCATGACTAATGCACAAGAATTGATGTCAATAATATTTAGTTTGATTCCAAGTTGAATTGAAGGTTTTCAAGGTTGCAAGCCTCTTCAAGTTGCTCCAAGGCGAAGGCAAACCTAACCAATGTCGAGAAGAGACTTACAGAACTGTAACCAATACAAACACATGTAGGTATCAAAAAACTGACCGTCTCTCGAAGTGCAGATGGGTTGCTGATCCCCAGAGCTGTTTGAAAGTGTTCATTTGTTACTGCCATGGAATTCAGAACCTCAGCGTCGATTGTTTCATCTTCTAGGTCAATGACATCCATCTTCTCACGAATACATTGCAATGCAGCTTCTGTGCACAATGCAGCAAGATCTGCCCCCACAAAGCCGTGTGTATTGTGCGAAATTTTTTCCAGATCGACCTGAAAGGAAGACACAACACACGCCGGGAAATTTAGTATGTGTTGCCAGAACGACATGCATTTTCAGTCAAGAAAAAATGAGCATCAAGCTGCTTCCCTTTACGACTCTATCGTTAAGACTGTTTGGTGGTTATTTTGAGGTTTGGTTCTGAATGAAGCAAAGCGAAGATTTCTACAGGGCGATCTTAATGTAACATCCTCTTTAACATTCCAAGCGAACTGATCACCACTCCATCTTTCCCATCCCTGCTCCCGGTCGCCTCTTCATTTCAAAGATCGTCACATGACATGCGATTTCACGTCTGTATTTTATACACCATTGGCTTCCCGATCGTTTAAAATCGGAAAAAAAACTAGAGTGGCAATATCACGAATACTCACGTCTTCAGCCAGCTTCATGTTCTTGGTGTGAATGCGTATGACCTCCAAACGACCGACTTCATCAGGTACTCCTATGTCAATCTCCCTATCGAAACGTCCAAAGCGCCGCAAGGCAGGATCAATACTGTTCGGCCTGTTGGTGGCACCCATCACTATGACATGCGCTCTTGACTTCAAACCGTCCATAAGAGTCAGAAGTTGCGAAACAATGCGACGCTCAACTTCACCTTGAGTTTTCTCCCTCTTAGGTGCAATAGAATCTATCTCGTCGATAAAAATGATGGAGGGCGCATTCTTCTCAGCTTCTTCGAAGGCCTTTCTCAGGTTGCTCTCACTCTCACCCGCCAATTTTGACATAATTTCAGGCCCATTGATAAGGAAAAAGAAGGCTCCCGTCTCATTGGCTACTGCTCTGGCAATCAAGGTTTTACCGGATCCCGGTGGTCCATACAGAAGAATACCCTTTGGAGGCTTCACACCAATCGATTTGAAGAGTTGAGGATGTCTCAAAGGAAGTTCGACAAGCTCACGAATTTGGGCCATCTGCTTCCGAACACCACCGACATCGTCGTAACCAACTTCGTCAAGCCTTTCCTCATCCTCTCGCCTGATAGGCTCACCTTCACAGAATATCTCTGTGTCAGGTGCAACAATACAGTATTCCGCAGGTTCGGTTTCAACCACCTTGAATTCCACGCTACGCATTCCCCCGCGCACCAAAAACAGGTCATTTTTGCGAACTGGTCTGTATGCTTCAGAGAAGTAAGCTGCATACACATGGGCACATAATAAGCACATTTTGACTAAATGTAGGAGGCGCCAATAGATGAGAAAAAGATTGACTTTATTAGGCAGCAACCTCGGCTCTCTTCTTCCCACAGTAACAAATTCACTGGCCGCTTTCACGTGTCAATACTAAGTCTTGACTCACCGAGAACAATGAGATTCTGCAAGAAATGAGAACTACCCATACAACTCTCTGGAGCAAAGTACAACTGGGTACGAGCGGTCTACAGAGAGATAAAGAAAGCGTACACCTTTCCCGTAAGCGTACACTATGAAAAACAATACAGAACATAAATCTCACATGAATTTGTGAAACGATGAACCCTTCAATCAGCATGTCACAGAGAGGTATCCCTGCCCGCTCACGAAGGAATGTAATAAGAACTTACGCTTCAAGTAAGCATCGAAAAGGTTTCCAGTGACACCATCGATGGAGTCATCCATAGGAAGTACATGAATACGTTTGCCATACTTCACATCTGCACACTGATGAACGGACACCACGTCTCCAAGTCTCACACGTAAATTGGCGCGCACCACTTTGTTCATGCGTATCTTGGGTTGATCACAAGTATCGTCCGCGAGAACAATGCACACAGTGTCTTTCCTCTTCTTGCCCTGGAAGACATTGAAACTGGTGTCAAAAGGGGTGTAACGTCAAAAGCACCGACGAGCGCAACAGCTTCTACGTCGCACACATGTCTACGTGTGAGCACATAGAACAAAACGGATACGAGACAGGGATCACACAAAAACTCCAACAGTGTCTTCATCCAAAAATATGACGAAAATCAACCCGCATCGAAAAAGAGTATACTGAGCCATCTCATATGAAACCCTACTGATTTATATTTTGCTTATCACAAACATCTCAAATGAAATCAACAAGTACGCCGGTAAAAGGCTTCCACCGGCGTGCACAAGGAAGAAAACAGCTCAGTCCGTGAAGTGCTTGCGAAAGGAGGTAAAAGAATCTAGCTCTAGGTATTGTCAAAGCTGAACAAACCTTGATTAAAACGGTATCTCCTCTGAAGAGCTGCAACCTCTCCATTGTTTCCATGTTCAAAGATACCACAGAGTTGTCATCGTTCACAGCTTCGTCCACAACAAGACGATTAGGTGCTTTCTTGCGCTCTAAAATAGCTGTAGAGAAGTCCCGCTTCGTGGCAGCCCTGATTACAGCCAACATATGTATCAGTCCAGGTTCAATTCTCCTTTTGGACAAAAATCTTAAGGATCCCTCGAAAAGCACAGAGGTCAGCTGGATGTAGGATTCGCATTCTCGGAATAGAACATGATGCTGATATGTCCACGAAGCACTGGAAATTCATCATAATGGCAGGTTTACAATACACAGCAGTGTGAAATATTTTCCCAGAGTGTGTGGAGCTTCCGTTGCCTAAGTGCATCAATTTCCAACACGTATTTGAAGTTTTAGGCTTCTAACAGTATACTGCACATACTCCCACGCTTGATGCAACTCATAGCGTCTTGTGACTTCATTCTAAATACCGAAGACACAGAATCACTGGATAATGGTGGCTGGACCACATCATTTACCAGATACTTCGAAATCCACAAAGAAGAGGTAAATTCGTCTCTCGCTAAAATAATCGAATTGTCAATCTATCATGCAGGACCACTGACCGACCATGAAAATTCCTATCTCCCATTGACAGCATCAACCAGCGTTCACAAGAGCCAGGAGCTGTACAAGTAGCCAGACAATGCATGTCATCGATGAATGAAATTTGGTTCCTTTGTGGCTCCTTCCAGTCCGATAGAATCAAGATATAACTCGTGGACTTGGCCCACACAAGGACATCAATGCGTCGACAATCCCAAAACTTAAATTTCCGCTCTCTAGTATGATGGATTACCGAACTCCACAGAAAACCAAGAGAAACATTTTGACCTCTGGACAAAGGTACGTTCTCGGAGCGCAAAGCCAAGCTCAATCACGCCAACACGATCCATCCGCCTCTTCCTCCATCACGAGTCACCGTAAACGCCAAGAGCGAAATCCGGACCGATTCGAAATGCGATACAGACCGAGGACAACAAGAGTTGAAACAGCGGACTCACCACCACCACCACAAAAAACAACAACACAGAATCGAAACCTCGAAACGGAAAAGGGGAAGCGATGAAACGTACGGATCCGATGTTTCGCCTCCACCCATGACTTTCGAACAGCAAGGCTGTCTCACTAGCTCCTGGCGCCCTTCCTTCCCTCCCTCCCTCACGCACCCGAGTAAATTGATTAACAGAGACCCAGTCAATCAATCAATCCGACCGCCCCTCCCCTCCCCTCCGAGCCCAGCCCAGCCCAGCCCAGCCAGCCGACCTAAACCAGCCTATTATCCAGATCCTTTCCTGCGCATCAGCAGCCCACCAAAATCTGCTCCAACAAATGTTCTCCTGTTCTCGACAGCACCACCACCTTTCTCTCTGCCTGTGTCTCTCTCTCTCACTCACTCATTCATTCACTCGCTCGATGCAAGATGGATGCTAGACCGGAGACAAGGAGATCTGAGCTACCCGAATGTGAAACAAGGACAGTGAAGGACAATGAGTGACAATGAGGTGGGGTGGGGTTGGCTTGAGCTGCGTTGAATCACGTCGACTGGAGTGCAGTGGCAGTGGAGTGGAGTGCAGTGGAGTGAGGAGGTGGGGCTCTGGGGCTCGTGGGCCTGCTGCTTCTGCTGCTCCTTCTGCTGCTGCTGCACGAGAACGAACGAGACGACGACCGACCGCAAGTCTAATACGGGAAGCAAGCGTCTCCGGCCACGTTGACTCTGTCTGTGCCCCACTATCCGTCCGTCCGTCCGTCCGTCTGTCCGTCTCCGCTGTGATGTCTTGACCGGCAAGACACTGCGAGAAGTCGGCGCGACGGGTCATGGGTGGTAAGGTAAGGTAAGGAAGGACGGCACGAAACAAGGCTCCTCCTTCCAGATTCTTCTTTCTCCATCCCTTCTCATCTCATATTTCCCATTTTAATGCTAATTGGGGTATTCTCCTCCACCTTATTACATTACATACATATCATCACCGTACGAAGGCTAGCATAGCCTTCGTATAACATTTGTTTTGTTCTAGTTGGGGTATTCCCTTCCTTCTTATTACAGTACATATAAATCATCACCGTTCCATTTCTTTCCTTTCTTTCTCCTTCTCTTCTCATCTTATAGTTCCCATTTTAGTGGGGCATTCCCATTTATCTTATTACAGTACATACATCATCAAAATCTTCATTCAAAATATGACGTAATAAAATATTTAAACAAAATTTATTCACATATAGTTTTTTTAATTAAATAATCGCAATTACAATCCTTTTGAATTCAAAAAAAAAAAAATCTTCTAGATAAATAAAGATTTCCTAGCCTTCGTATAACATTTGGTTTGTTCTGATTGGGGTATTCCCTTCTTTCTTATCACAGTACGTATATATCATCACCTTATGAAGGCTAGCCTAGCCTTTGTATCCCATTTGTTTTGTTCTATTTCGTTTGAACACGTTCAATAGTACTGTATGGAACGTATTCTTATATTATGCATATTATTATTTACCTCTATCGTGTACTCTTTTCTCTCTTCTTCTCTTCGATTCTCCTCCGGCTAAGTTCCTTTCTCCCGACCATGCGTCGGTACACGACATACTCCGGTGCTCATCCGTCCTCCTCAGCTGAGACTGTATTCAGTATAGTTTTATTTTTCCATTAGAAGACACTACATTCGACCGAATATATTGTAATATTATTTTTTATGTTTTCTTTTAGTTTGATACATTTATTTTAGCGACCGGTCCTGCTTGGCGAAAATTTTATATTTTTCTTTTATGAAAAAATATTTTGTTCACGTTTACTCGAATGAGTCAGAGGTTTACGAGGTCCCTTTTCCCGATCGGTGGCAAATCTCGTGACTTGCATCTGGGAGTTTGATCTGTTTATTACTCGTGGACTTTTTTTCTGTGGATTGATGTCGAAGGTTGGTCTCTTCTTCTAGCTGGTTCCCATCTTCCTTTTCATGCAATCATTCATTCCGGTGGAACATGGTCGCTTGTACCGAAATCTTTATGCTTGTATTTTGGAATCTTTTGAAAATCCTTTTGTGTCATAAGAAGGCTCATAAGAACAAGCATTTGTATACATTTGCAGATATCGTGTTCGGGAGTAATTTTCTCGTCTTTGACTGCATGTGAGGTGTTTTTTCATTTATTCTCTTGAAATTTCATGACGAATTGGACAGTCATGTTACACTTGCTCTCACAATTCTACTACTCTTATACTTTATCCATCTCACCAAAAAAAACTCAAAAAATATTAAATGTTTTAGACTGAGCATCTTCTACCCATAGACAAGTCTTACCATTCCCCGATTTACATTTAATAGCGTAACATAATTGTGTGATAAACTTATGGAAACTACTTATATTCGATCAGATAAATTGATGATCAAATCTTTGACATGTTGCACAAGTCCACAAAAAATTATGACATGCCTTGAAACAAAACACCCGAATTATTATTTTTAATATTCAGAATACTACTTGAAAGGAATGAAGGATTTTATCATTTAGTTTCAATTTATGTCAATCAAACCATCAAAAAATACCAAACACAATACAAATAGGTCAACTACTCATATTCAAACAATTGCAGACACGCATATAATAAACAAACAGCTTTTAGAAAATTGTGCAACAAACAGTATCGATACGAAATTGAAACCACAAAGAAAATTGTGAAACAACCAATTTTATCCTAATCTTTAAGATATACTTTACCATGAAATTATAATTTTATATTAAAGTGCAAGTTGACGTATTCTTATTTTTATTGACTATGATCGAATAATACACTCTTAATTATTTTGAAATATATACGGAATATACAGACAAAATCTCTAAATCTAATTCACTATTAGTCCTCACTCATTCACTTCGATGAAGTATGGTTATCCACTGCAACCAACTAACATCATTACAGCTATCTGTTACAATTCAACATACCAAGTCAAAGCTGCACATGTTGTGTGTACGTATACTACGAACTACAAAATGTGAACAGATTTCTGTCCACATTATGTAATTTAATTAGGTATTCCATATAAGACATAAGTGCAAGAGTCATTGAGGTAAATAATTATAAAGGTTGATAAACATAACATCAGAATTTGAACTCAATTTTTGTTATCTTTTTTGCCTTTAGACTTGCGTTACTGGTCTCATATAATATACTCAAGATAAACCCTCCTAGTAAATAAATCATTAACTCTCCTAAAAACCAATAAGTGATAAATTTAATAACAATCATAAATAAATGTAATTAAAATATTCATTCAAATCATGAATACTTGGTTGAAAAAACATGTTAAAATGATTAGCTATATACCCATTACATCCTTCCAATGTCATACATATTAAAAAAACAAACATGACCAATAAGGACAAAAATATTTAAAATATTGATCAACAAGAATATTAAAACATACTCATTTGGAAAGAAATTATTTAATTTTATTAATCCTTCAAACTCTGTTCTGAACTTTTCTATATAAAAGGATTTATTTGAATATCTTTTACAGTTTAATTGCTGAATTAAAATTTTATGAAAAAAATAATGAAATACAAAAATATATGATTAGACCTGAAATCAGTATTTATGAACGTACAAAATATGATAAAATTATTTACATTTGTTGGAATTTTTTTCTTAAAACCTTTTGAATGTGCTAATATTTGAAGTGATATAAAGCAGACTTTGTTTTCAATCAAATGATTTTTATTTTTAGCGATATTGATTGGAAAAAAAGGCATACAATTTTGAAAATATTAATCAGACTACACATAATTTTATCACAGCACACTTGTAAAAATAATGGAATTGAATTTTCAATTTGGAAATCAATTATCTTGGCATTCACTTTGAAATAATAAATACAGAAAATCAAGCTTTAAGTTCAAATTAAAATGATTGCAACACTATGATCTTTTAGAAAATTTGTGAATATATGCCATTCTTTATTCAGATTAGTAATCATACAATGATTGTGAGTAAATTTATCATTTATCAATTTCAATCAATTTGAAGGAATCAATTTATTTTAAAATCGAATTGTATATGTCTGTCCTTATCATAATATATCTCAAAGCACATTGATTTTACATTGGCAAAACTATATTTTTCTTGTCTTACATTGCATACATTACTTTTCTAATGTCATCATGAGTAATCTTATGTTATATAATATTTGTATTTATATTTATCTACTTATTTAATTTAAAAATATATTTTGAATAAATTTCGAAACATGATTGTTTAGAGTTATATACCAATTGAGATTCATTAATAAAAAAATTCTTTCCAAAGACTTTTCAATTGATCAATTTAACTATTTATGCAAAGTGTTTCCAAAGCTATATAAATTCAAAATTTTGTAGCAATCTTTGATTGTAACTTTATATTTAAGTTTTTTTTTTTACACTACCAATTGATAGTTTTATTTGATTAGATAAAATAAATAATATAAATAATTTTATATTGAGTTGTATGAAGAGCAAAAATAACAAAAAATTGCATGCATTCTTTAAAAATACCTCATAATATTTGAAAATTTTATTGTCAAATTTTTTTTATTGAAATTTATGTGATAAATCAAACATCTCATGTTGAAGTTCATATAAACACATTTCATCTCATGGCTTTAACTATTAAATAAAATGTCATTAATCATAATTTTATATTATAAAATCCATATATTTATATTTTGCTATACAAATAATTTTTTATTTAATTGATTATATACTAAATTACATTATGTGTTATTTTGAACACGATATCATGATTGTATGAACATAGATGACATGATCTTTAATTGCATGATTTTCTTGAGGTTAACTCCAATTAAGTAGTAACCTCGGGTACTAACTATTTAAGGCTAAAATGGTAGCTTGGATTGGGGTTAAATACCCTTGCTTTCGCCCAGTACGAAAATTTTTTGTAGACATGACCTGAAGTAAAGGTGCTTGTGTTCTCGGTGGAAGTAGCTCTCTTCCTGATAATGAACCACGTTCTGTTTGTGTCATTGTGTATTTATTGGATTTTCTACTAAAAGATTTATTTTAGGGTAGATTTTCTAAAAAATAATTTATAAAATATAAAACAAACAACTATGAAAATTTTAAAGTATCATAAATTTTCATTATTTGGATTTTATTTCTTATTTGTGATAATTTATAATATTAAAAAGTGATTTTATGAAAATTTCAACATTTTTTGATTTTTATGAAAATTTTAAAGTTATTTATATTTGAAATTTTTTTAATATTCATAATTATATTAAATTATTGATTATAAATGAAATCGAAATTAAAAATTATTCAATTTTACTAGTATCTGTGTTAGATTGTTTGTTAGTTTATTATAAATTATATATAAAAAATGTTTGATTATTACTTTTGAGTGCATAATATATTTAATTGAATTTTTTGTTTATTACTGTAATCTGTATGTTAGATTGTAATTGCATTTAACATCGATGATTTTTTATTGTATTGTCTTTTAACAAAACTTTATGCAAAATTCATTTTCATAGTGTACATTTTATATAGTTTATGTCTTTTTGATCCATCACGCTCAACGTCTTTTGCTAGTGTTCAAATTACACTAGCAACTTTAACCAACAAAATACAAAGTATAAAATCTCACAACAAATTTTCAACTCAACTCATTATTTGAAGTATAAGAACAAATTGATGTTTTTACTATGAATGTAAGTTTAATATAATTATTCTACTTGTGTCAATTTTTGAATTACATATATTAGATTTGGTGAAAATTTTGATGAAAAAATCAAATGAAATTCTTTTCAAAATCTGATTTGACGTTAACCACAACTATTTAACATTTAATTTTTGTATTATCATAATAATTAAGAGTACATTTTTTCACTATATTGAACTTGTTTTCACTAGGTTGTTATAAATTTTGTTGGGTTAATCTTGATGATTGTACAACACTATCTAATTCTTAGAAAGTCAACATAATCTTTTAATATTCACTTAATACACATTAATATTTTTGTTTGACTATTTTTTGATAGAATGTACATTTCCTTCCGTTCAAAATGAATGCTTTTTAAACATGCGACATTATAATTTATATTTTTAATGCATAATCTATATATTTTTTCATAAAATTGTAACAAATTAACTACTGATGATTGATTATAACATTTCATAACACTTTATTTTCTCATACAAAGATTACTGCCAAAATAATGTTATATTGCATAATTTAAATTATTTTGACCCCTTGGTTCAGTTGAACAATTATTGATGATAGTTATTTTTTTGGCGGAGCTGCCATCATTTATATCATATATTTAATTGTAATTTCAAAAATGGAAACATTGAGATTTATATTTTTTTTTTCAAGTTTTAAAATGTTTAAAGTTAATCCATTAACTATTTTAGACGGATTCAAAAATGAAAAAGTTAATAACATGAAGTTGTTTTCAATTTTCATATTGAAAAAATAGATTTACAATATGTATATATACATATAATTTAAAAGTTAGATTAAATTTGAAATTGAAATTTTGTTCATCACTTTTTAAAACATATCATAAAAAAATTATATACAAAATTTATTCTATATTTACATCTTATTTATCAAAATTGTGATAATATTTTTATACATATTGATTTTTACTATCAATTATGTTGAACGTTCAATATTCTGAATCTATGTCTTCTTTTCTATAACCTTTAAAAAAATTTGAAATTCAACATATAAAATTTTATGTATATATATATATGTTTATATTAGATTACTTATTAATAATTTGAAAGAAATGTTTATTCAAATAATATATATTTTACATTAAATTTTTTTGTTGCAAACAAAATGCATGAAAAATTTGATTTATTTTTAAAAATATATTTTTATAAAATAAAAGAATAAAAAATTGAAATTTGACTGACAATTTTGGATTTTTACATTATTTTTATCATTCTTTTTCATGTAAAAGTGTTAACTATAGCTCTGACTCATCATTTTGAAATATCAAAAGAACTATTCAAAATTAATTCTCTTTTATAATTATCCTAAACATTATTATTGTTATTATTAAATAATGAAATAGAAATATTTTATTTTGATGATGAATAATAATTTAATACAATAATGCTTTTTTCACAAAATCTTAAGTTAGGCAGGTATATGCTTATTTTTATTTAATATATTATTCTTTTTATCAAAATTTCAATATCATTTATTCATTTATATGTGGAAAATCTAATATTTTAATATGAAGTTAGTTGAGATGATTTTTAATCTTTTTTACTATTATATCTTGTACATGACAATAATTACCAGTATCTAAGACTTAAAAATAACCAAAACACATATCATTTATTGAGTGATGTTTCATTATTCGGATAAGCTTTAAGTGATATGTTTAAAAAGTTTTTTTGAATAATGCTCCATTCAATCATATTTTTTATATGAACATTTTAAATGATTTGAATGAAATTTTTAAAAATGCGATTATAAGGATCTTACCGACTGCTGAAATATTTTGTTAACTTATGATATACTTACACATGTTAGATTCTTTTCATCGTAGATAAAATTTCGAAATAAATTTTTTTAATACTTAATAAATCTGAAAGTTCAGTTTTAGTTTTAATTTTAAACTAATCATTTGCATATTGTTCTATCAAAATGTCTTCTCAACATAAATTTTAAGTTTTCCATCAACATGGTTAATATTTAGAACAATAATTATAATATTTGTAGTCTCTTTTTTTTATCTAACATGATAAAATAATATTTTATTTGAACAAGTATTTTTTTTGAAAATACTTGTTCAAATGGAAGATCTTGAAGCAACATTAGAAAGCTTATTAACTTTATAGCTTGAGCCACCTTATGTTTATGTTCACATGTGAAAATTCATAGTTTAAGTACATCGAATGATCGTTTTCATCTTTCTTTCTTGCAACTTTTGATGTCATTTCTTTGTTCATGCACATACATCTTAGCATATAATCAGAGGTTTCACTCCATTGATAATTTGTATTGTGTCTTAGCTATGACTATCTACTTGTTTGAACCTTGAAATGACTTTCATGCTTACTTATGGCTCGAAGGTTCTCTCGGCAATGCAGCCAAATTAAGGTAAAAAGATCGAAACCATTTGCATCAATAGAATAAAGTGTAGATTCATCGGGAAGAAATACTCGGTGAATCAACTACTAAAACTAGCGTCAAAATATAATAATAGTGATGAGAGATTCTGAAGAAGTTTGCTCCATGCTTGGTCAAAGACACTATAGAATCAGTATGGTTGTTCAAGTGCATGCAATATCTGCCAATGTATCGTGGGGATGCACGCGCTAATCCAAGAAGGCACTCTTGAGCTATTTGTTTCCACAAGTAGTTCAAGAGTTTTAAGTTGCAGCCAGGATTTTTCTCTTACTGGCTGTTCCAGCCATGGAAACCTCAAAGTGAGAGAATTGATGAGCCATTCAAGTCTCTTCGCTGGAAAATCGACAGACAAAGCTATTAGCTTATGAAAATCTGCAAAGTGGGATCTGATTCCAAGAACCACGGCTGCGTGTACATGTATCCAAGGAGTGTGAGAGTCAAATTTTTTAATTTTCATATTACCCACTTCATCGAGTGAATAAATGTTGTGCATATTTCAACACATCAAGCCATCCTACCTCGAACACGTCGATTTTTCCTTGCCGATGAAACAACCAAAATGAAATCTCCAAGGCCTTAGTCAGAAGTTCTCCATGCTCCTTATTGTTGAGCTCTACAAGGACCTTTGCAAATTCTTCAGCTATTCAGTTTTTCTTCAAATTACCATCGGCTCGGTGTATTCGTCATGCGAGCGTCTATTACATCTCAGGTGGCAAAAGCTCGATGCAATAATTTCAATTTATAGCGGATATGGTCAGTTTCGACCTCCACCAAAAGAGAATCGATTCATTTTTCCCTCGACGAACAAGCTCACGAGCTCATGCTGTCAGAGTCTTTCTTACCCCAATTTTGCACTCGAAATTCCCACAAATTTTGAGCGCGCGCGACTCGAAGACATCGCATTTCAGCCCTCTTCTATCCTCGCACCCAAATCAAAATACGCGAGCAAGTTTATTTCGCCTCTGTCAATAGTCTTAACCCGCGCTCGACACTCACACAAGACTTCAGCCAAACCTCAACCATGATTGAAACCTCAGTTCAAACCACGATTGCATGCTTCCGGGTTAGTCAGTATTTAGTCATTATTCTACGACGTTCGGTTGCTTAATTGAGGTGCACAGATCGTACCAGGTTGGGACCGAACCATTCAGAACCTACCGGAGCCACGTCAACCGTGGACAACCTGGGAGGTGACCCGTTTGCAGGTCTGATCAAAATTGAAACTCATCTCGGGGTAAGGTCAAGGAAATACCCACAACCAAGAAAATCACCCGGTTGGTCTGCAATTCATTTGTAGGCGCAATAAATATATTTCTGTGGGCAGCCCGGGTCAACAATCGAAGCAAACCGCAAGTCTTTGCAAGAAATTCTCTCTGCCAGAGCGAGTGCAAGTAAAATAAATATGAAAATGGGTCGGATGTTAAAAAACGGAGTTCTTGCCGGTGACCACAGGTAAGTAGTCAGTGGACCTGCCGGGTAGAGCTAAAATTTTGGTCAACTTTTGGAGGTGTGAGAATTACGTGGACAACTAAAGGTGCATTTGTTACATAGCTCCGACAGGTGACATGTCAACCACCAGTCGTGTGCTATAAATCGGCGTAGGGTAATTTGGACGGGGACGCCCAAAGAGTAGACCGAGTACGGCGCAGTACGCTTTGCATGTCTGTGAACCAATTCCTGCCTTAACCCGTTTCACACTGGCGGCAGTAGTTATCGGGCTCCCTCGTAGTCAGTTTCACACGGGCGACTGGCGACTGGCGACTGGCGACCGGCTCGCTCGGAAGAAAGAAGAGGGAGGGACGAGCGCTTTGCAGAGAGCGGGGAAGAGAGGGGAGACAGATGAGAGGGAGGGAGGGAGGGAGGGCGGACGAAGGGGAGAGGGAGAAGAGGCGGACCATTTCTGCAGGGCAGGAATTAGTTTGTTGTTCCTAAACCCTGAAGGAGGTCCTGGCATGCGGGTTTGAGCTCGATCCGGTAATCGTCAGAGGCCACGAGAAAATCTGCCGCGTCTGACATCGAGTGCATGACGTAATTGATATATATAATGTTGTGCAATTTTTTCCTCCCTTCCGGTCGGGAATGCTGAAGGATTTGTAGGTCTTGGCAGACTTAGAGCACCAGAGAATTGTCGATCAGGCATTGAAGCAATTTGCGGGTGAGATTATAACTCTGGAAAGTGGCAAAATTCAAGAGTTGATTTCGTGGCGCGGAGTCTGGAAACTTTGGGCTTCCAATGGATCTGCTTAATTGAGGAGCTCACGTTTTGGAGTGACCAGTTTGAATGGGGAGGACTCCCGGCAAGTGAGCAGTTAGGGCACTGAGTCTGCCATACAGGAACGTGTACATTAGAATAACGCAGATTTGCGAGGTCACAAAAGCGCAAGGCAGGAAGTTGTAAACTTCTTGCCAAAATGGCGAGTCTAGCAGTCGGGTTGATTCTTGAAAAGGTACGCAGTTGAACTTTGGCTGCATCTGTGCTTCTACAGAGTCTCCGTTGGTTTTGAAGGTGAATTGCCGGTTTGATCAGTGCGTAGAATCGAAACTGGAACTCGGTTCTTGACGTGCGCGGTTTCTGCGCAGCTGGAGTTTTTTCGAGCCCTACGGAAAGCTTGTAACGAGATTCTTCTTCAATTTAGGTCTACACGTTTCAGCTCTTTGAAATGTGTATGCAGTAGTGACGATTGGGATTTTCCTGGTGCAGATTGCCTCGAAGGATAAGGACTTCAGGTACATGGCCACGTCGGATCTTCTGAACGAGCTGCAGAAAGATTCTTTCAAAGCCGATTCTGACACAGAGCGCAAGGTTACACAGATAGTTCTTCAGCAGCTGGATGATGCATCCGGCGACATATCAGGACTTGCAGTGAAATGGTAAGGGTCCAATTAAGCATCACTTGCAAGTCGACGGCGTGGAGCCATATGGGGATGTTGTCTGGGAAGCTTGGGAAAATACAGTGGAGAAGGCGGGATGATGGATACGTGTCCTACACGGAGATGATACTGGAGCATACTAATCTGTACCCAGATCATTTTGTTTGTATCTTAGGGTTCAAATTTCTGTAACGCTTTTTAGCCTCCAGTCACGAAATCATTCGCGAGAATATACTGAAGGTTTCGCTATGAAGCCTTCAGCGTAGTTCGCGGCACGGAGACATTAGATTAAAGTTTTCTGTGTGGAGCGGATGTCCTTATGGGTGCGTCTGGTTTCAAATTTATTGGAATTTCACATTGTGTGAGCTATACCGGACTGGAATTTTAAGTAACAGCGTTCGTTTCACCATTCCCTACATATGCTCATTTGGAGCCTTGTAGATGTTTGTTTAGTACGAGTGTTTTGTGGGTAATTGATCGGGTAAAATACTCTGTTCATATCTTACACTTTTTTGTAACTATCTTGTCTATGATAGTCTCATGTGTGGAACAGATGACTTATAAAGGTTATCCAAAGGAAGTAGAGCGGGGAACTTTGAAGGGTACGAGTGATACAACAGATTAAGACAAGTCAGTCCGTGAGCTTTGAAATGAGCGCAGGAAAGCAGAGCCGTAATTTTTTAGCGGGATGTGTGCAGCCTAGCACCTCTTGTGAAGAAGGTCAACGAAAACCGAGTGGTCGACATTGCGGATTCCCTCTGCAACCGTTTGCTCACAGGCAAGGAGCAGCAACGCGATATTGCCAGCATCGCCTTAAAGACAGTGGTAGCTGAAATTTCAAGCGGCACATGTGCACAGTCCCTCGTGGTTTCACTGACCCCCAAGCTTATCAAAGGAATCACCTCACCGGTTCGTCTGGAGCTTGGATTACTATCGCTTCTTCACTTCCCAGGACGCCTTGCAAATGCGATCAAAAGTTTTTGTGAATTTTTTGTTTTAATGTTGGGATGCCAGGTTTTGTTGCCTCGCCTATTTACGTTGCCCTTCTTGGTCATCATTTGTTTGAGTCATGAACCCCGTCGCAATGATAACGCAACCAGGATACGAGCACCGAAGTGAAGAGCGAGTGCCTCGACATCTTGTGTGATGTGCTCCACCGATTTGGAGGGTTAATGACTGCTGATCATGAGAAATTACTCAATGCGCTTCTCGTACAACTCAACCTACAGCGGGCTGGGTTACGAAAGCGAGCCATTCAGTGTCTCGGTACGTCTACAGTAGTAGTTATCTAAGTAACCTAATCAGTATGTTCTTTACTTTATCATCCATTCAGTGAGTGAGATCACAAACTATTGATGAGCTAGATAAGTAGTAAGCTACATGAGTCGTTCATTGAGGTAGATCATTACATGGTCGTTCGATTGAAGAGAGATAGTAATTTACCATTGACCAAAATCCTCAGGTTACGTGAGGTGTGCATTCAGGCTGAACAATTTGCCATGTGGATTGCAGCAACGCTCGCGGCTAGTATGTCCGACGACCTGTTAGCAAGAGCGACGATCAGCGTTGTCCAAATTTTGAAGAACAAAGATGTGAAGCCAGACATGACCCGGACGAATATTCAAATGATAGGCGCTTTTTGGTGAGTTACAGCGTGATGTGACATCAGAAGGAATCTAAATTGTAAATTCAGTAACCGACTACTACGCCTGTTACGTGGGTAACTTTAGCACTAGGTATCAACGGTGCGAGTGATTAATTTGCATATAGTATTTAGTGACCGAATTTCTCGTGTTCGCAGCCGTGCAGTTGGCTATCGATTCGGTCCTCATCTGAATGAGGTTGTGCCACTATTAATCAGCTATTGTGAGACCGCGTCCGAAAATGATGACGAGCTTAGGGAAAATAGCTTACAGGTACTGTTGCCTTCCAGCGCTTTGTTCATAGTTTGCAGGTGGTCACCTTTTCTGCACAGCCACTCTGAAATGCCTGTATCTAAGTAGCGAGTAGCACATCAATATGGTTGATTACGTCGCAACTCTTTTCCGAAACTTGAAGCAAACGATTTTTGTTGGTTCTGCAGGCGCTCGAGAGTTTTGTGCTGCGTTGTCCTCGCGATGTCTCTGAACACACTGGCACTATACTGAATCTTGCTTTGGAGTATCTGAGTTACGATCCAAATTTCACCGACGATATGGACGAAGATCTAAACGAGGACATGGATGGAGATGAAGAGGAGGACGAGTAAGCACAGCTGATGCACTTCATGGGTTCTTGTCAATTTACATCTCTGGAATTCTCCCAGTTCATGAATATTTATTAGATCCTTGTAATTTCAGAGAATCTCTAGATGTGGTTAATGCTCAGTCCTGCGGATGACTGATGATTGAAAGTCGGTGTATTTTCGCAGGGAGAGCGCGGATGAATACAGTGATGATGAGGATGTCAGCTGGAAAGTTCGAAGAGCAGCTGCAAAGTGCCTTTCAGCAGTTATATCGTCTCGTCCTGAACTACTGTCTACTCTATACAGTAAGGTAATGTTGAAGTATGACATGGACAGCTGTAGACACGCTACTTTTATACAACTTGTACGACATGCATTTGCTCGAACGTACTGCTGTTCTGACTTCACGCTGGTAGAACACCCCACTTGAGAATATGTTGATTGATTCGAAGTCGTACCCCTAACGGATGGACAGCCTTCCCACAGAGTTCAAAGCGGTTGTGAAATTGAGGAGTTATGTTATGGAGTCTTGTCGTGCTTAGAAAGGCAGCTTTATTATGGAGAGTCAATGCTTCTTGATGTATCATGTTGAAGGCAATTGATGCAGCAATGGACTCATTTGCAAGTCTCGAATGCAGGCTAGCCCGAAGTTGATTGAAAGGTTCAGGGAGAGAGAAGAAAATGTGAAGGTGTGTGCATATAAATCCAAAAGTACATTTGTGGTAATCATATTCTCAATGGGTTATAGGTCTTGTTAGAACTTTGTTTGTTCCTGTGATATACGAAGAACACCACATGTTCTATCAGAAAAGAGGAAGTTGAAGCACATATAGGTGATGGCGTTTTGTGATACCTTTTATGCTACCATCAGGATGATTCATTTGATATTTGGACGTTTCCGTAGTTGGGAGTCTCAAACGTACGTATTTTTTATGATCAGATTGACGTATTCAACGCATTTATTGATCTACTTCGTCAAACTGGGAGCGTCACGAAAGGTTCTGGGGACCCAACAAAAGGAGGAAGGTACTATGATAGATTTTCTTGCAGCCATATTATGTACTTTCTTTGCGTAGGTCAACTGGGTGAAACATTTGTCTTTTTCTTGAAATAACTGACAGTTCAAGATGCGGTTGTTGGGAGTCGCGGAGTCTGGCCAAATTGGCAAATGCGTCCTCACAATTTATTTAGTATGCATAGATGAACATGGATTTGGCAACTGTTGAAGATTCCGCTAGAATAGTCAGTGATCCTTGTAATTTACTAAGTGGTTTGACTTCTCTTTGCAATCACTTTGTCTGGATTTTTGGTGATCACGAGCAAGTCCCTTGTCTGGAAACACATAATTTGCGTTTTTCCGCTTCTTACTATTTGTCTTCAAACTGGTCAGCCCGATAGTACTCACTGTATGGTTGTTACCCCTTATCTCTTCATTGACATTGTCACCGTTACTGGATAGAAATAACTGAAATCTGTTTGGGGCAGCCCTTTGTATATGTTGCAGCAAGAGGTGCCCAAGGTCGTGAAGTCCCTCAACAAGCAGTTGCGAGAAAAGTCTGTGAAGACGAAGGTGCGGTTTTTTCTTTAGTCTTCGGGTTTCCGTCTTCAGTGGTTATCGAAAATTACTTTTGCATGTTCTTTGCGACGTGAATGTATCACAAACCAGAATTGTTTTCTGCAGGTTGGCGCGTTTTCGGTTTTGAAGGAGCTAGTAATTGTGCTACCGAATTGCCTCTCCGACCACATGACTTCTTTAGTTCCTGGAATCGAAAAGGCACTCAATGTAAGTTTTGCTAAACTGATGGAGACATGGTTGACCGTGAGTTTGATAGTATGTACCCTTCACATCATATTCGATAACATTCTTTATGTGTTCTCCTCTTCTCCTGATCTTCTTGCAGGACAAGTCATCAAATTCGAACTTGAAAATTGAGGCTCTAGTCTTTGTGCGCCTTGTCATGGCTTCTCATTCTCCTTCGGTCTTTCATCCACACATCAAGGTGAGTCGGCTGATCCAAGAGGGAGAGTCTGAACTTTTTCACACCATTCTTGTAAGACGATGCTGTTGTGATGTACGACTTTCTTACCTTTCTCATTGTCTCGGACAGAAGCAGAAGTTTTTTCCTCACGTATACAATGTCAAGGAAATGCATCAGTAAGAAGTTGTTAGTGACGAATATGACCCTGATCTGATGGTTCGCCTCGTGCTAGTACAGGCATTGTCCGTACCAGTCCTTTCCTCTGTCAGTGAGCGCTACTACAAAGTCACTGCAGAAGCTCTCAGGGTATGCGGGGAGCTTGTGAAGGCCATCCGCCCCACCTTGGATAAGGTTGACCAGCGATTCTACCCTATGGACCCTTGAGCTTTCTTTTGAATTTCTTTCATCTGCAAGCAGTTATACTAACCGTCGATTTTTACCAGTCAAGTTCTAACTGATATGATTTTGTGCTGCAGCCAGCAGATTTTGTTTTTGCTCCTTACGTCCAACCTATATACATCGCTATATTCAAGCGTCTGACGGCCCAAGATCAGGATCAGGTATGCATTATCTCTGTTGTTTGAAGTTGTGTTCTTTTCATGTTACGCTTAGAAAGCGTAACATGAATGAGGTATCAGTTTACGAGGCACAAATTCGTTCCTCGATAATCTGGATAGTTGATAATCTCGACTAGTTTCAGTAATTGTTACATGATCTTTTGGACCGAAGTCACTGAGTCAACAGGTTTGAACCACGGAAAACATATGTACAAGAGGATTCCTGTGCTAAAATATCTACAATTTAGAAATTCGACCGTACTTTCTACTGCTACCCAAATCCTTATGGGCTACACCATTTCTTTTTCTCGAAGATGTACCCAGAGGCTATGCCAGCCTTTTTACATCAGAAAACGGGAGAAAAGCTCTGTGCTTAGGTGGCTGTGGACTAATAAACGTACTTAAAAATTGCAGGAAGTAAAGGAATGTGCCATATCTTGTATGGGTTTGGTCATTTCTATACTTGGTGACCAGTTGAAGAAAGAGCTTGGGACTTGTTTGCCGCTTCTTTTAGAGAGATTGCGCAATGAGATAACTCGTCTTACTGCTGTCAAGGTAATATATATACTGAGATTCGAGATTTCAAATATGGAAAGCTTTATTCAAATTCATTACGTTCAGTGACTGTTTTTGTTTTGTCGTTGCCATTGTTGAAGAACTTATGTCTATTTTTTTCCCCTCGTTTTTGTTGACGTCAAGGCTTTTGCAACTATAGCGGAGTCTCCGTTGAAAATAGATCTATCATCCGTATTGGAGCAAGTCGTTACCGAGCTAACCACGTTCTTGCGGAAGGTGAGTATCAAAATGCAGTAAATTGCTTTAGATGCTATCCTTACTGCACTATTTTTTAGCCTGTCTCCACATCACACATTCATTGAGTAGCTTGCACTCTAATTATGTGATTGATTAGCCCTCGTCAAGGTTTTAGTCATTCCCATTGAGAGCTTGACAGACCTTCATGGTTTCTTGGCTTTGGACACACAGGCTAATCGGGCCCTGCGACAAGCTTCTCTTGGGACTCTCAACGCTCTTCTCACTGCCTATAGTAACAAGATCAGCCCTTCCAGCTATGAGTCAATTATCACAGAGCTTTCCTCTCTAATCAGGTATGTGTCTTAAATCCCTCAGCAATGTTGAGAATCTTTTAGTGTCATTTTCAACATTCATAAATTTGCACGGCGACAAACTACCTTACGGACTCTACTTCGTGCCTCGAATTCCAGTGATGCAGATCTGCACATGACGGCACTAGCTTTGGAACTTTGTTGCACAATGATGCTGGACAAGCAACATCATATGAATGCTGGTGCTGCCGTTCGAGAGAGAGTTCTTCCCCAAGCTCTTATCTTGGTCAAGAGCTCATTACTGCAGGGTCAAGCTTTGCAGGTACATCTTATGTGGATGCACTACTTGATTTACACATCTTCTGAATTTGAAATGGAATCAGTCACTTTACTAATGTATCACACTCATGCTCGCACTTTTGCAGACTTTGCAGGGCTTTTTTGCCGCGCTAGTTCAGTCAGCGAACACTAGTTTTGATACTTTGCTCGAAGCATTGTTGTCAACTGCCAAGAGTTCTGGCTCACCTGGTGGACCTGCAAGCAAGCAAGCATTTCATTCAATTGCCCAGTGCGTAGGGGTTTTGTGCCTTGCTGCCGGAGATGCAAAATGCTCATCAACTGTGGCCATGTTGATCAACTGTTTAAAAGGAGGCGTTGGTAACGACGCCGTAAGTTATTACAAAAGCTTGATTGCTGTCTCTTTCTTTATGTAAAGATGAGTTTCCCGTCTCTCTAAGCATATCAATTCACTACTTAAGGACAAGAACGACAGATTCTCATGTAGCTGGTGTTGGGTTTTGCAGACAACTCTTTTATCCTTGCTTTGTCTAGGAGAGATTGGCAGAAGGAAAGATCTGAGCCCGCATGTGAATATAGAAGGTGTGGTAATTGGATCTTTCCAATCTCCATCCGAAGAGATCAAAGCAGCTGCATCCTATTCTCTTGGAAATATTGCTGTCGGGAACCTATCTAAGTATTTACCCTTCATACTGAGTCAGATCGACACTCAATCGAAATTGCAATATTTATTACTGCACTCTTTGAAGGAGGTATATCTCTTGCTTCTTATGTCCATGCATGACTGATATACCTCGTGCTGTTTACAAGAAATTCTAGGTGTTTACGACGGTTATATCGCTGTAGAAGATACTGTAGTATATGGTGGTTTTGCTGCAATTCACTATTTAGAATGTCGTATGTCAGGTGATAGCCCGGCAGTCACTGGACGAGGTTGGAAAGGTCGAGTTTCAGGAGACAGATGTGCAAAAAATACTCTCCCTTCTTTTCACCCATTGCGAGAGCGAGGAAGAAGGGGTTAGGAATGTCGTGGCGGAGTGTTTGGGAAAACTTGCTCTCATTGAACCCGAAAAGTTGGTGCCTGCTTTGAAGGTCTGTGACCTTTCACTGTAGTTAAATTGTTTGAAGTTTGTGTTCCGTCATAAATAGTACACAAATAGAGACCTTTTAAAGTTGACTTTGATATTCAGAAACAGATACGAGGGCTACTGGCTCTACGGCTATTGGAGGGCTGTAATGAATTCTTAGTTCACATGTTTGGAATTTATCCTTGCTAAGTCTGAAGCTGTTGTCAGTAAATATTCCTCGTCAAGTATGTGGTGATTTGGATTGGCAGGATATACACTATCCGTGTCCTCACTGTTCGCTAAGATCAGTACTATTGGATGCGTGAGGCCCTTTCTCACATATAGAATTACGATTTGGTATTCCTGCCGTCGTGCAAAAGTTTTGATGCAGAATGCTGATTTTCAGTCAGCTCAGTTTTTGTATCTGGCAGAAAGTTGTTAGACAACGGAACCTCTAAGTCTGACAATAGAATTAGGGGCTGTGTACATACGCGTACCTGAAGTAATGAACTGAAGTTGTTCTTTTGATCGATTTACACCGAGCATAGTCTTGGGATTGATGATGGGTCGTAATATGACATAAGTGTGATATTCGAGATCCATAAGAGAACTGCAAATATATTAATCTATATTTGAAGTTGAAGATCAGTAATGGTGTGCATATTTTTGTTTATCACGTTAATGATTTCAAAGATTAATGTTCTGAAATCTGTTTTACTGCAGGAACGGACTGCTAGTTCTTCAGCCTTCACGAGAGCAACTGTTGTTATCGCTATCAAATACACAATTGTCGAGCGGCCTCAACCCATAGATGCTTATGTGAAGCCGTGCATAGCATCTTTTCTGATGCTCATCAAAGATGATGACAGGGTCTGTGAAGTCATCTCACTTTGTATTTGCAATCGTTATTCAAATTGTTTTTCCTTTTTTCATCTTTGTTGTAAGAGGTTTTGGATTTTAATAGGAGGTTGGAGATGGACATATCCAGTCGATTGCGTTCCTTAGCGAGCCATGAGTTCAAGGATATCGGTCGATATTTGGCTCTATTCTTATGGACGTTCTAACCTAGTCTATAATTAAGCATTTCAATTGCAACTCTGATGTTTTGATGTGTTTGATTGGTGTTTACGTCAGTGCTAATGAGTGGCAGCTGATTTGTTGCAGCATGTGAGACGTGCAGCTGTATCTGCCTTGAGCACTGCTGCTCATAACAAACCTGGTCTGGTTAAGGACCTCCTTCCAACTCTTCTGCCTCTCCTTTATGACCAAACTGTTGTCAAGGTCGGTAAGATTGGGATGTTATTTATTTCTCTTTTTACATCGATTATCTTGGATTGGAAATCATTATTAATTGCGAAATTCCTGAAGAAAGATTTTGCTGATTTATCGGTGTTTGGAGCAGATGTCTTGAATTGACGTTTCTGTTCACAACTTTGTGTTTTCTCTTCTGCGAGAGTAAACAAACTATTTAAATATCAAAAAAGTATTCCACTTGATATTCTAGAGTTGTAAGAGTTGGGACTATATGCTTGCCAAATATATGACTAATATTAACTTTGTCATTGTCTGTCTTCACAGAAAGAACTTATAAGGACTGTTGACTTAGGACCCTTCAAGCATACTGTAGATGATGGATTAGAGCTCAGAAAAGCCGCTTTCGAGTGTGTGGATACGCTTCTTGACAATTGTCTTGATCAAATTGATCCTTCCGTTTTCATCACTCCCCATCTCCTGTCAGGATTATCAGGTTGGTGGAAACGATGAACTTTGTGCCATTTACAGATAAGAGTATGTATCGCATGTTATTCAAGATGAAGATTGGGATAGGTTCTTAATGTATTACGTTTTGAATATCTGAGCTTGTTCGTTAGCCAGAATCATTTGATTTGTTGAATTGCAAATTTTATGACAAAGTCCAGAATTATTGTTTTTGGCATGAGGACAAGCTGTCGAACTGTTTTCTTTGAACAATGACGGAATTTTTACTTCGATATCTTACTCATCATTATTTGAACTTTCTGCAGATCACTATGATGTGAAGATGCCATGCCATCTGATCCTTTCGAAACTAGCAGACAAGTGCGGATCTGCTGTTTTGGCAGGTGAATCTGCGGAAACTTTGGAAATGAGCAATATCTTAAGTCAGTTTTCTTGGTATGTGTTTATGTGTCATTGTTAAAGTTATTGTGGAATAAGCAAATATCTTGACCTGCACAGTACAAGACGCACTAGTGGAACCACTAGAGAAGACGGTGACGAACAAGACAAAGCCAGATGCTGTCAAACAAGAGGTGGATCGCAATGAGGACATGATCAGAAGCACTTTACGAGCCATCGAATCTCTTCATCGGATCAGGTGAGCCATGAAAATTTTTTTATCGTTTTGAAGTCAAGTTTCAGAAAATTACCAAAGTATTGGATTTTGGGTTCACTTGGAATTCTTTTATAGGTAGTCGCACTTCTTGAGGATTATTTTCAGCGCAAGTGCTGCTTCAGATGCATTTGTCGTCACCGTATGTCCTAGTGTATGACAATTTATGTGTCGCCTCAACTGCAAACGTCGACAGTTTGCAGGTCAGAGAGACAATATGTTTTTGACTTTCCTTTTGCTGTCGTTTATTGTAGCAGTGGAGAACCCAGTACGAGATTCAAAACATTCATGAACAATGTAGTGAAATCTGGATCATTAGCGGAGAAATACAATGCCGTACGACATGAAAGCGACTCTATGGTCGGAGCTGGAGATATCATGGACATGAGTTAAATTTTATTTATCCCAGTACCCGAAGAAGAGAGCTGCTAATCAACACCTATTTCAGGAAGATAGATCTCACATTACAGAGGGGTGGTGGTGTTAGCTGTCAACGGTACATATGCTCCGTTATTCATATGGTGGTCAGGATACCCGTCTGTAATTTAGATCAACAATTCCAGCTCTAGACTGTTTTTGTAGGTCGCAGGAGTCTCCATCCTGTTCTGGGTGTGGTCCTATATTGCTCAAGTATGAGCTCATTGAGGGTTTTATCTTGCAGCGTTACAGTTTTACGGTTGCCGCAGATTCCATGGGCTCAATGGGGTGGGTAGATTGTTGAAAGTGAAACAAACAGTTGGGCGCACTCATTGGGTTTCTCGCTGGCAATCTCTCACTAGATTGAAGCATGGTCACAGAGTGTGACTGACTGCCAGGACATCGAGTCCTCAACTGTGTTTCTCTCTTGTACTGGCTTGGATGAAGTGGTTTGCAGCGTCTAGTTGATATTCCCAATTTTGGAACATATTGACCGGGATCGTGTTGCGTGGTAGCAATGACCGTGTTACAGAAAGCTTAGGCCACCTTGAGCACAGGACGGCATATGAAAGTAAGAAGGATGCTTCGTGAGAACCTTCTCTGAGTGTGCATACCAAGGTGTGTGTGCATCTTATACTTTCAAACACCTTCCCCTGCGCAAGGGGTTTGGAAAGAAACATGCAGCAGGCTATCTAGTTTGAATGACTTTCTACGAGGGGAAATGTCATTTTTGTAATGTATTACCGCCTCCAGTTTGGGACTGTAATGCACTCTCAGTTTTGACAAAAGTACTGGGATTCTGTTCCTTAAGCAAGCTTAGTTGATCATTCTCGTGCGGTTGATGAGATGTCGTCCTTTTGCCTTCCTTTTGCGAGTTTTTCCGAGTGCAGTGGGTGGGAATCGAATTGAAAAGTTTCACTAGACACTATGGATCAAAATCGAATGTGGATATCGTGGTGAAAGTTTGACGTCTTCACATTGTCCGCGTTCCAATTGAATGTTTTCGGTTAGCACATCCTAGAGTTGGAACTAGTGTTGCGTTTTGAGGATGATCTTCAATGCATTGATGTTCTCACAATTGCTATGGAGAGCAGATAAACTCAATCGTAGCAAACACCGTGTTAACATGAACTGTTTGTTCCTGAACTATCCAGTATCTGCCGGAGATGTCTCGGGAAGTTGGTCAGTTATCTTACTTTTCGCTCTTGCCGAAGATGGAGATAAGACAGAGGGTAACAAAATTTGTCAGCTCGCTGTGTGGAGGAGTTGCATGCTCTATGATTGCAGATTTCAGGTGATCCTTCGTGGCAGCATCTAGGAGCCCACCAGAAGAGCTCATTGAGTGCAGGAAGCATAACTTGAATGCGGATGTAGACCTAAGTGATCTGTGACTACAGATTCTTAAAGGATGTACAAAACGAACGACTCTCTTATGACAAGTGGAAGGCTCGCTACTTCATAGTAATCAGCTATCATTGATATTAGACCACGAACCTACTAAATTCATGATATGCATTCGGAAAAATCATCAATAGATTCATAGTAATAAGCTATCATTGATGTTCTACCTCGAACCCGACTTGTTCATGATATCCGCGCGCAAGAAACCATCAATTTATTCATAGTAATCAGCTTTCATTTATGTTAGACCTCGAACCGACTTATTCATGATAACCCTACCAAGAGTTGCAGAGCTCAAAATCTGTTAACCCTTGTAGCGACGCTGTAGGGGATCAATATAGCAAATTACTCTCAAATGTGTGTAAAGCATGTGTGAATTGAGATCTAGAGTATAGTAAAGGAGTACATTAGGTTCCATTTTAGCACATGTTACTTATATGTACAAGCCAAAACAACGATTGGAAACTCTCGGTCTATTCTTCAATGAACATAACGTTGAATGGAATATTTCTTGATCATTGTATCATTTTCTGTCATGGCGCGGGTTATATTGAGATTGACAATAGTTCTGTAATTTATAGTAGTTACAATTTTTTGTTGTATGATTATTTTATAGTCTTTGTTTGTTGAAGAGTTGTTTGAACTACATATAAATATTGTTTTCAATATATATATATATATATATATATATGAAAATAACTTACAATGGTGAAATTATGAATAATAAAATTTTAGAATTTAGAATTTATCTATAAAATTTATTTGTATTTTATTTTTTTCATCTTCAATCTTTATCATAATTATAGTAATTGAATATGAATAAAACATATTCATATGTTAACTAGAAATAATCTACAATCAAAATACTAAACATAACCAAAAAAAGTGAGCATTATATTATAGCTATTCGATATACAATATCTAAATAATATAATTTATAATTCTTTTGGAAGTTGATTAATGTACAAATTTGATTTTAAAATAAAATTTTATTGATTGAAATTTTTTTATTAAACATTTCATGTTTGACATGTTACATCTTTGAATTGTACTACAAGATTTGGTGTTTTTTATTATGTCAAATGAATTTGTTAAGTATCTAATTTATTGTCATTTAAGCCTATATAAGTAAAAAGATTGAGTTATTGTTTTTAACAATACTACAAATTCAGGTCTGTTATTTAATGAGTTGTACACCATTATAAAATTAATTTTCAACAAGATTTTTCAATTCAAAATGTAAAGATATAGCGAGTTATATTGTTCACTTAGTCATTTATAATTTGTACAAAAATTTGATATTGTCTAATAAATCATTGAAAAAAAAAGCATGGTGTTTTAATTTTTTTACTAACCAGAATTTCACTATATGACTTTCACATCTAATGCATCAACATACAATATATGAAATAGTTTACTTCTTTGTTATAGAATTTTTTTTTCAATAGTATCAATTGAACTTTATGCTAGCAAAAATTCAAAATATGTTGCATAAAAATACAAAATAGATCACAATGTATTATATTGAAATTTTTTTATGACATCTTGAATATAGGAAAAGTGATTCATATGTAGCTTGTGTTGTTCAAATTCTTGTTACAACATATATTCTTGAATTAATTCAAGTCATTGATCCTGAATGCATACGTAAGTTGATTTTTGGATATCTTAATTGGATTATTTTTTATATGAAAGTGGTGTGAAAGATTGACAACTATGACATATCAAATACAATTCACAAATAATATTAGAATAATGAGAATAATTTTGTGAATGTACAAATTTCAGAAATACACATGAATTGAAAAGTGAAACTTTAGTGAAACTTATTAGTTGAACTTTTTGATTTTCATGAATTCACCAAAGTAATCTTTAATTTTATGAATTTACATAGAAGTTATAAATTTTTATCAATATAAGATTGATAAAAATCAAATAAGATTCATATATCATTAATTTTTTAATCACAAAAAATATATAATAATGGTATGAAAACAATCATTTTATCCGTGACTACATATTACGAGTTACAACAAATGTTTATATCATTTAATTTGTAAGAATTTTGCTATATAATGTTTTTTCCAATTAATAGCAATTTAGGGATTATTTTTTCAATTATTTATTGTAAAAATTAATTTATAATATATTAATATTATGGTTGGAACGGCGCGCATATTAATATTATGGTTGATTGATTTTTTGAAATTTCAATTGGATGTTAAATCTTACAATTGATTACATGATATATACACTAATTTATAAAAATTTTTCATTTAAATTTATTGAGCGTCTGAAAAGTTTAATTAAAAATACTGTATTATTATCTTTAAAATAATCAAATTTCATCATCATAGTTGATTTTATACTATGATGTTCATATTTCATATATTGAAAAAAATATAATTATCCAATTTAATGATTTTATCATAAATAATTGATTTATTTTTAATTTTTTATTCATCTTTAGTCTCTGCAACATTTATATTTCATATTCATTTATATATATTCATATTCATATATTTCATCACGTTTGAAATTCTACTTTACCTTTATAAAGTTTTTAAATTTCAAATCATGAGATCTTGATAAATCAATTTATAACTTATCAATATCTATGAATGGATATTCATTATTTTTAACTGTTAAAATAAAATTTCTTTATAATCCATAGTCACTAACTAAAAAATCGTTAACAAAAATTATGTCATAGTTGTTAATCTTTCACACCACTTTCATGTAAAAAAGCCATATTTGGAGCATTGTACAATGCAAGTAAAAAATGTAGCTCTAGCTTCTTACGACATCAATTGATGAAGCATAAAAAAAATGATCTTAACTTGTGATGCGTAAGTTGAACTTGTTTGTAAACAATGAAGACGGAGTGAACTTTTTTGCCAAAATTATTCTAGATTTAGATTCATGCATCTCTCGATACAAACTATATGTTTTATGCTTTGTTCATTATTGATGGTAATTATTTTATCCAAAATTTGCTTTGAGCAAACGGTGATGATGTTTTAAAATTTTTATGCTAATGGTGATATTATAAAAAAATAAAATCACTTAATATCATAAAATGCTTTTAAAATCATTTTCTTGCTTACTCTAGAGTGCATAAGGTAACTACTTTTCTACATCTAATTTTTCTTCATATATCGAATGAAAGAGATTTTTCAGGTGGCGTTACGAGACTTCTTAGTCCAAGATAATGCCTGTGCTGATTAAACTTCAACCTAGGAAGAGCCTTGGTCAGCATATCTGCTCGCTGTAATTTTGTGGAGAGGAATCGAACTTCAATCTCCTTCAGAGCTATCCTTTCCCTCACGAAATGATGCTGAATACCAATGTGCTTGCTCCTTGCATGAACTACTGGATTTTTGGCAAGTTTTATAGCACTCTCATTGTCACAGTGAACTATTGTGCATTCAGTCAGTGAATTGGAAGTGGGAAGTGCAAAAGTGATCTTGATGTCCTTGCAGGAGAGAAGAGTTGGTGTCATTGCAAGTGTAATTGGGTTGATTTCATGTAAAAGTTGACGTAGCCAAACAGCTTCATGTGCACCAAAGTACAAGGCTTTATATTCATTCTTTGTAGAAGAGAGTGAGATAAGATTATGCTTCTTAAAACATCATGATACTGCTCCTCCAGCGAGTGTAAATACGTAAACACAAGTAGATTTCAATGTGTCCTGGCAAGAGCCTCACGTGGCATCTATATATTACTGCAATTGTAATGTATTTCCTCGTTTGTACAATATCCCGTGGTCTAATGTACCCTTGAGGTACTGCAAGGTTTGGAAGCCAATATCTAGATGAGACTACTAGGTGCTGTCATAAATCGTGAGAGTTGTACCACAACAAAACAAATATCGAATCTGGAGTTAGTAGCAAACATGAATTGGTCAACTAGTTTTCTGTAAAATGTAGGATCTACAAAGGGAGTGTTAGTATCTTCTTTCAAGTAATGTACAACATGGATTGGTAAAGTAGATGGTCTACAATTAAGCATATTAAACTCCTTCAAAACGTTTGTGATATATGATTTTTGATGAAGTAATAACCTTGTGATGATCGAGAAAACTCAACTCCTAAATACTTTTGAATTTCACCTAAATCACTCATTTCATACTTACGCATTAGATCCGACTTAATCTTAGAGATTTTTAATTAATTGTTTCCTATTACGTACATGTCGTCTACATAAAGCATCAAAATAACAATGAGACAATTCTCCCTTAAAACATAAAGGTTAGTATCTGAGTGACAACGTGTCTAGCCTGCTACTCTTAGGTATAAATCAATACATACGTACCAAGCCCTTGAATCTTGTCTCAAACCGTAAAGTGCTTTGTTTAGTTTACACATAAAATCCTCAAAACCTTTTCTAATAAAACTAGGTGGTTGATGTACATAAACGTTTTCTGAGATAACACCGTTTAAAAAGGCGGTTTTGACATCTAGATAATAAATTAGCCATTTGCATGCACCGGCAATGGCGGATACGGATCTAATCCTCGATCACTTCACGACGGGAGCAAAGATGTTGGTGTAGTCCTTAGGATTTTTTGTTGGAAGCCTCTTGCTACAAGACAAGATTTAAGACGAGGTGTAGAACCGTTCAGGGCTTCTTTGACCCGAAATACCCACTTGCATGTAATTGCATTTGCTCCACATGGTAATCTAACCAGGGTCCAGGTATGGTTTTTATGGATTAAGTTCAACTCATCAACCGTCAACACGTGCCATTCAGGTGTATTAAAAGCTTTGTCGAGGATGAATTGCTCTCCCATATAGTCGTTAAGCTCGACTTCATTGCAGTCAAATGCATTTCCAGGAATCTTGGCACTATAACTTACATAGTCTTTCTAGTAAGCAGCAGTACGTCTGGAGCGAGGTGTGATGGGCCGACTGTTCGACATTTTTCTACAGTAGGATCTGAACTAGTTGGTGTGTTTATGTCAGTCTATCAACAGTAGGAGTTTCAAACCATTCACTTTCAACGGTGGATTCATTTGGTGGAGGTGGGAGAGGTAAAACTGAAGAAGTAAAAGGAGATGTTGATGTCGTGTCTACATCTGATATGGTGGATTCCTGAATGTTCGGAGCTATCTTCTTAGAAGGTGTGGTTTCAAGAAATGAGTGAGATATAGCATCACTAGGTAGAGCATTCTCAAAGGTAAAATTGACAATGGAAGTCCTTGATTGAGGTTTTACTTTCTGGGGAAGTGATATATCCAAATCATCAACAAGTTCAGGATCATGTCGAGCTGCGAGTCCAAAATTAGACTCGTTAAATCTTACGTTTCTACTGATATACACTTTTTCATTAACAGCATCATACACACGGTAGGCTTTTGACTGAGTATCATAACCTATAAAAGTAATTGGTATGGATCTAGCAGAAAGTTTGTCGAACCTGGTTGTAAGGAGTATAGAAGCTGCACATTCAAAGACTTTAAAGTGCTTAACATTCGGAATGAGACCTGTCAACCGTTGAAAGGAGGTTGCCATCTGTACTGCCTTTGTTGACAACCAATTTAAGATACAAACAGCTGTACTTGCTGCCTCCTCCCAGAGAGCCTTAGGTAATTGAGCATAAAGTAGTAAACTTTGAGCCATCTCAAGTACAGTCCTATTCTTTCATTTAGATACACCATTTTGATGTGGAGTGTAAGCACAAGTTAAGGCATGATGAATACTTGATTTTACGCAGAATGCATGATATGCCTTGGATATTCTCCCCCTCTGTCCGTTTGTAGTGCCATCAACTTGTGAGTGAAACCATTTTTCACCATAACTTTGAATTCCTGAAATTGCTGTAGTGCCTCATCTTTAATCCTCAGAAAATAAATCTAAGTATACCTCGTAAAATTGTCAGTAAACATCAGTATATATTGTTTCTTTGTTAAGGATTAAGAAGGAAGAGGCCCGCATAAATCAGAGTGCAACAATTGTAATGGACGTGCTGTTTGAGTCTGAAGGTGTTTGGGAACACGATCTCGACTTTGCTTTGCTTTTAAACAAGTAGCACACAAAGACCTAATGTGACGTATCTGAAGAATTCCAACAACCAGCTTCTTAGAGGCCATCAAATGAAGTTTTTGATAGTTTGCATGATCCATCCTACGATGCCCAAGTTCTGCTTGAGAGACTGAACATGTTTGAAGATTGAGTTTATGTTCTTCTATATTCCAAACTTCAGTGGAACGAAGAAGTTGTGTTGAAGAGGATGGCGTTGTGATGGCCGGTGAGAGACCTCCAGGCTTAGTTAGCTTGTTATTGTGTGATCCCGCTCTCCCTGCAATAGTATGCTACATGGATTTCTTCTATCAAATACATAACAGTTCTTGGAGTTAAAGAGTGCTATGTGGTCTAAATCAGTCAAACGTCCAACAGACAACAAATTTTTCTTCACACCAGGCACGTAGAATACATCAGACACCTTCTTTTGATTTAATGTAAGTGAGCTCTTTCCACAAACTGGAAGAACTTGATTGCCTGCAATTCTAACTGAGATATATCAGTCTGATTTTTGATATTAGTAAGAAGTGAACTATCTCCAGTTAAGTGTGAGGAGGCTTCACTATCAAAAAACCATGACTATTTTTCTTCTACTTGTTTCAGAAATGCAAAAAGTACATTTTTTGCATCGTTGATTGCTGTACTTTCTATGATAGGAGCATCATCATTATCAAGGAACACGACATCAGCTTTCTCAAAAGTAACCTTGCGATGGTCATCATGGGCGTCAAGATAACATTCCATGTTGTTTGTCTCTAATTGCCTAGAGTTCTTCAGAGTGTTGGAGGAAATCTGAAGCGCTTCGAGCTCTTTCTGAAGTTGGTGCTGACGGCATTCGTATGACCAATTCTCCGCATTCATTGCAATTGTAGGGTTTTATGCTCGGAGAAGCAGCCTGTGAAGAGCTATTTCTGTTATAAGATCTATCCTGAGAACGCCAAGGGGGATTACGATTGTTAGTGTATCTTTGAGGAGAATAATTCTGAGAATAACCACAAGATGCATGGCGGTTGTGAAACTCAATGTGATATCGGATGCTCGAGCTTCTTCGGTCACATCCGTTGTAGTCAAGATCATTGTTGGATCGCTGGAATGAAACAGATCTCCTTTTATCAGTATGATATTGTTGCTTGTCTTGCCTGCTGCGCTGAGTGATGGCAATAAGAGACTCGGCTGATACGCCGGTTCGGCTAGATCTGGCCTCTCGGCTCATTTCTTCATCAGTAAAAAATTGTGAAAGCGTATAAGGATTATGAACAATGCTAGCTTTAATGAAAGAAGGAAATCCTGACCAACTGGTTAGCAAACTCATCAGAATGAGAGATATAAGTTCTGAGTCTTTGACCGTTTCAAAGCAATTTGACAATTGGTTAGTGAGGTTTCTCACAACACGCATGTGAGTTTTGATGAACTGACCCTCCCTTGTTGACAGATTGGACAGTTTTTGTCGCAAGAGCTGGTGTCGATCCTCACTAGCGAACGCAAATAGTGTCTCTGACTCTTTCCACATAAGATGAGGATCAAACATTGCAGAGATATGATGAACAATGTGCTCGCGCACATTCATCATAATGTAGTACACAGTGTCATCACGCTGTTCGAGAATGATGTCGATTTTCTCTTGAATTTCTTCATTGGCACCCTCTCGTTCTTGCTTGGCCGTGATTGCATTTTTACGTGCGTGGTCGAACAGTACTTCGAGAACTTCAAGTGCAGGTAGTAACGTCGATAAAGCATTGCTACGTTTGATTGCTGCATAACATTTCTTCTTGTGTAAGATGGCTCGCATTCGCGCAACCCAAGCAGTGTAGTTGTCGATGCCGTTCAACTTTTGTGTTTTGGTTGATGTCCTTCGCTTCCCTCGAGAAATCCATGATACCGAACAGAAGAGAAAGAGAAAAAAAAACTTCAAATACTGAGGTCACCAAGTTAAGGCATTCGCAATCTTAACTAGAGTATCAAAGAGAACTTGGCTCTGATACCATGTTGGAATTTTTGATTTGTTATCAAGAAGACTGTTTTACTCACTAGTAGCGCTTGTACATATAGTGTAGTGTAGTCTACAACGGTAATCTATAACGGGCAATGTTATGGATAACAAATAAGGTGTGTCCACTGCTTTTGGACACTGTATTTAGCAATGAGAGTATCTAACTTATTCTAACCGTACATACAAGAGTAATGCAGGGCCTTGAAGGCTTGGGAATAGAGAAACGGGGTGGAGCTCGCCTGCCACCAGGAGAAATGCAATGACACTCAACTGTGAACATGACGTCTTAGAATTCAAAATGTTTCTTCGATGCGCGGTATCCCTTCATATTCGTCGGTGTCATTCTAATGGGTAAAACGATACATTATAGTACCATCAAGCTATTTGTGTTACAATGAATACCATCAACTAATTCTCTCCAAAAACGTCCTTAAGCCGATGTGCCGGATGTGAAATTTAGAAAAAAAAATCAATCTTGAGGAGTTATCACACTAGGGGATATCGAGTTCTAGAAGTCTCTCTGTATAATATTACCAAGGATGGGAGCCTGAAAATCTGGGTATGCTACCATTTGTAAATGGAGGTTGTTGAGAACGTTAGCGTCGCCACACTTGAACAAGCAGAAATGACTGGAGGGGTCTTCTCTCCCGCTGGAGGCATTCCATAACGGAACACCCACGTGCCGGGTCTCGGCATGCATGGATCACAGACCGGACGTTCCATGCATGCGTGCATGGCATGGTTCAGCTCCGATGGCATGAGGCGAGAAGAGAAGCGAAGAGCGTCAGCGCCATGGCCCTCGATGGGCCGTCGCTCTCTGTCGACGCTCACGAGCTCGGCCGTCACCTCAGCGCCGTCGATGGCGGTGCTCGCGCTGACGATCAGCAATCGGCTATGGCTCATGACTGATCGAGTGTTCGCCAGCAGTTCGAGAGCTTCGAGTCCGTGCGCCGAGATTGGAACGAGGGACTTTCGCGCAACTGATAACGCGATCCTGCGATGTTCAGTCTCATGTCCACCACGTGCCAAAACATTCCACGGACAGTTGGCTGATTTCTGCACCACTTGCTGGGTGCCCCCAAACCTCGGTGAACAAGTGTACGTCCCCAGCATTCAGATCTGCTAGCTTATAAGACCGATCTCCCTCCCATCCATCTCAACAAAAGTGACGATCCGAGTATCACGAAGAACGAAGAAAATTTCCTTTCTCCTCTTTCTTATTTGGCAGTAAGTCTTGATTGCTGAGAGAATCAGAGATCTTCGAGAAATGGCATCTGTCAGTTTGATCAACGCCTCGACGACACTTACCTGCTTGCGATGCAGCAGCTCAAGCTTCGTGAGTGGCAGCAAGCAGCTACTCAGCGCGCCTGCAGCCGCCAGCACCCGAATGCTGGCTCTCCGCGCACAACCCGTCTGCAAAAGCCAGGTAGAGTAAAGCTGCAATCAGGCAGGAAAATGTTTCGAGCGCAAGCTCTGCTTCTGCACTTCAGATGTGAATCGAAGGGTGAGTGCAGGAGATGATGAGTGAATGTTATCAGTCCAAGCATGCACTGACTTCATTGCATGCTCGACTATACTCTACTTGACAGGATGGTTTCAGCGCTGAGAGCATCGCCAAGGAGGTCAAGAAGGTGGCGGCTGCCACCGCCGCAGCATTGCTTCTCTCTGGGTCCGTAGCGGACCCGACCTTCGCCTTTACTGGAAACGCATCTCTCGGGTCCATCACCGAGTTATCTGCCGACAACCCTCTCGGAGCCGTAAGGCACTCGTCCCAAGCCAAAATCAAAGTTGCTTCCAAATTTCCTCCCCACCCCTCAAACGCACAATTATCTGCACTTTGGATCCCTATCTTTTCTCTCTCTCTCTCTCTGTGTCTGTACCAAGTTTTTAACAGCCGATGCTGGCGGCGCATTGATCTCAGGCCGAGGACATTTTGAACAAGGCGAAGCAGGTCGGGAATGAGAATTTCGCCCAAGCTCAGAGGACTGGGGCGGAGACCGTAGGCGAGACAGCCAGCGCTCCACCCGGAACAGCTCCACCTGCCATCAGTCAGCTGAACTTGAAGGACGAAGGAACGAGTACTCCCAATTCCGACGCAATTGAAGCTCGTGCCGATGTAAGTGATCGAGAATTTATCTGAGAATCATAATCATAATTTTCATAGAAACCATAGAATTCATCTCAGAATCATATTTTTGGTGGACATACCTCATCTGACTCTAATTTGTGGTGGACATGTTTCAGTTCGCCGCCGAGAATGCACCGGGGACGAGCCAGCAGGAGGGCAAAGCTCTGAACCCGATCGAGAAGGCTTTCGCCACTCCCACGCGGGGCATCGGCGACAAGCTTGGCGAGAATGTCGCCCAGCTCTCGAACAGGGACGAGAAGAACAAGACCGACATTCCCGGCCAAGGGACGTCCGGCGACTCGTCGCCGGGAGTGTTCGACGGCCTATTCAGCACGCTGCGTGAGTCCGCCGGCAACCGGGACGGTCGGAAGCCGGCCACCCAGAACGTGTACGGCACAGATGCCTCTTAGATTGCATCTGGCCTTCTGTATAGTAGACGTACGATACGTACGTAGACGATTTTAGATCTTGTAATTTTACACCACGTTGTACTAATGCTGTACATTTTGAATAAACTTGTACGTGGAGAAGCTGTATACAAACACGTGAATTGTTGAGTATCTTCAATATATGATGCTTTTCGAAACTGCAGAATAACAAATTGGTTACAATTTGGATTCTTCTAGAACGTAAGTCAGACCTCATAAAATTAGGCGTTCTACAAAATTGACGCCTAATTAGTCTAATTTTAAATGAACTAATAAGCAAATGGAAACAAACCTTTCTGTATGTCGAAGTGAAGTGGTGTAATCTGTATTAGCAAATGGAAAAAAAAAAGAACCAAGTGCGCTCATAGAAGGGTGAACTTTACAACACACGGCTACAACTCTCAACTATACATGTTTTCTTGCCCAAATCGTGTATAAACAATTTGAAATGATCTAAATTTCTCTTTCTATTCCAAAGTGGCATTAACTATAATCTCTCTCCAAAGTAAAGTTTACTACCCAACCACACAGTGCTAAAACTATCGATACGTTACTCAGTGTAGCTAGCTAGTTACTATCAAGCTGAAGCAATTACATTTCAACTCGGCGACATGAGAGTAGATCTTATCATTTTTCCCTGTTGTTATCTTTAAATCTAAAATTCCAAATCTGAACTGCAACACTGTTCGCTGGAGGGCGTGTTCCAGAAGAAACAGATGGATACCTTAGGCGAAATGCTTGGCTTACTCAATCCGGTCATGTAATTCGACAAAATCATCACAAAAGGGTATTTTTTAGTAAACGCCTAATTTGCCCGCATAGAAAACGCCTAATTTAGCTTATTTTGTCTAAATTAAACGTTTGCCTAATTTTATGAGGCCTGACCTAAGTAAACATTTCGAGGATTGAATTAAGTATTAAAATTTTGGTAAGTTAGGAAATTTGTTTATATTTTTTGCAAACACATTCCAAATTAGTTCATTTGGTTCTGGTTTGTTTATGCGATAATGTAGCTATCGGTTCATTATTATAACATACATTTATAGTTTATATTTGAAATCTAAAATAAAAATAAAAAAATAATAAGAATAATTGTAATAGCTTATTCAAATTAAAATGCATACACTTATTCTCTTGTAAAACAATTGTTCCATGTCACGACTATGTAATATGGCCACAATCACTTTTGAACGTATGCTAATGTTAAAATACTTTCAGAAATATTGTACATACATAGTAGTCCAAATTGACTATGATCTGATAGGACATTAAACGCTATCAACCTCGACACTTATTAAAGTCTGTATATTGTAGTCTACCAATCAAAGTAGCCTAGAATTATACACATATTCTACAAAAACTCCGCAATAATTAACCCAACCTACACTCGATCAAGTAACCAAAAAACTACCTGATAGTCGAAATATACATGCTCCACTATAATTTGCAAATAAACATATTTCATACCTTTGTAAAACACAAACAATTGTACCATTCAGTACTTTTACGAAGAAAAACTTCCAAAAACTTTAAGCCGCTACAAACTCGAAGGATGCTGCTTTCAGGGTAGTCTCGGCTACAGAATCAGAATCAGCCTGTTTTGGCAGGTTATACCGAAGCCCAATTCTTCTGGCACCTGCAAATCAACCAACTTTTAATTCATTGCGGTACTTGGTATCAAATAAATGAAGATATGACTACTCGAGATGTTCTGAAATTTGCTGTTGAACTACTGAGTGTATATGGAGGTTGAAAGTAACCATCTGGGATGGGAATGTGGTCGTCCTGACCTCTGCTGACCTGAATTCCTCTGACTTTTGCAGAAACGCTCGATATCGTTTGGGTGCACAACATGCCATGTTCAGAGTTGTAAGGATCTCAGATCAGGCAGAGACTTGCTTCTCCTCGTCATCCGAATCTCGAAACGTCAGAAACGATCTTCAGTGAGGATTGGCGCATAGTCGATCGAGATTGCTTTTCGCGCTCTTGGAAGAACTCAGTTGGAATGTTGAGCAGAACATCTGAGCTGGACAGGAAAGATGGCGACAGAGGAGTGTACCGAGACTCTGGATCAGATGGCTGACAAGAAGGTCGCTCATCTGCACGAGATACTCCGCATTGGCTTCACTGAAGCCAATGGGGAATCGTTCCCTTCCACGATCTTGGAAAGCTGGGGTAGTGGATTAAGAAACTTTAATGGGAATGATCGTGACATTCACAGGTGAGAGTGTTGATGCTAATACTTCTAAGTGCCTCTGTCTACATCCTCAGAGCTCCACATTGTCTTCCTTCGACACGAACCAAGATTTGGGATGGGACATCTTATTCTTGGGGATCATCTCAGCAACTTCAGAGACCACGAACACTTTCAATCTCCAGATCCGACTCTTTTTAACATGTCACTGTTGTTTGCGAATCGTATGACGTACTCCATTAGCATTTGCTGATGATAAGTGGTGCTTTCAACGTGTTGAGCTTCTTTTGAAGGACGTCCAGCTTGTCGTCTTCCAGTATCATCTGGTTATGTTTGAATGAGCACATGACAATCTGAGACGGCAACTATTGGTTACTCGTGTCAGGTTATGGGACTGTATATTGACTTTCAGATATATCAGCGTTGTTTGTTCCTGATTTGCTCGTCATGGAAAGCTTTAATCGTTATTACCACCTCTTGAAACTTGGGTACCATCGAATACGGCCCATGCCTTAATGGATTGTTGATACAGGAGGCATTATGAATCCTGTATACCGTACAGGAGCTTTCTGTGTCTTGGGCGTAATTTCAGAAATGAAAACATGAATTTTGATGGACTGATCGGAATCCGGTGGAAGGTCTAGATAATTCAGCGTTGACACTGCCTTCTGAGAGATTGTTGAAGAGCAAATTTCTTTAGTTCGTTCATGACGATGTAGCATTCCGGATAGCAGATTTTCTACAAGATTTTACACTGACCGGAGATCATCGTGTGATAATCACATACTGGGTGACACCAAAGCTTTTCGATGATCTGGCGACGAGTGTAGGAAAGGTCTGGGTCGACTCGTTTCCTCTTCCTTTGATATTTGCTCTTACCGCACGTAAGCTTCCTTTTCATTGATATATGCTATAAATTTGACATGAAACATATGAAACGTAATCGTTCAACAGAAAATGCTCGAGGTCATGTTCTATGTCAGAACAGGAGGCAGCAGCTGGAATAGATGAGCTGCTTTCGACCGCAAAAGATTAAAGAAGACGGCCAGTGACTCTAAAACCGATCAACTCAGAAGAACTGAACATTCTTGGGCAATGATTCTGTTGGACGTATACTCTACTGCTCACCAGATGTAGATTAGGTTTAGAGACTAGGTTTAGGGTTTTAGACTAGTTGCTTCGAGTATATACAGAGTGTGTTACATATCGTCTATCAAGTTTTCTGTCTTCCAACACAGTGAGTCCTGTGTTGTTCTACAGTTTATCAGATTCTTCATGATGCATGAAGAATCATTTCTGTTTCTTCAGTGTACAAATCGTAGTGTGCCGTGTAACATTGTCCAAATGAAAGATTTTCATACGGACGTCAGACAGCATTGCATATCTTGGTGAACATCTTCTCTTGAGAAAAGGGTTTCATGACAACTGAGATATTGACAAGGACGCCGTCCGAAACCGTCCACCTTTCAAATTGTTCTACCACTTCAACCCCTAAAACCCCAGGAGACCCTCAACGCGCAGCAGCCATCGGCAAGACAAAGAAGAGTGATGATTCCTGTGCAAGGTTCTCTATTCCAGATTGGCACTTGTTATACAACTGCAAAAGGCTATTCCAAGTATGAGAATTCCGCGAGGAGTTTAGGTGGTGATATCTACTATCCCAACACATGACCTACACCACACCAAATTGGTCTAAAATTTTCATAAAAGAGGATGCGAAGAAGATTGTTAACTTCTTCGAATCTCAATCTCGCCATCGATGTCCGCAATAAGGATTGCAGCACAGAAAAAAAAACGTCATACCTTCCTCTCCTCTCGAGGTGGCCTGCGTGTAAAAACCAACAAAGCTAATCTCGCAGACTGAACCAGAAAACTTGCCTAAATCGCTACTTCAGGTTGCAAACTGAAGAACAGCCAAAAAGGAGGCTCTCTGATGCTCAAACTTACCTGGAAAAAGACTGCCTCTCCATGCTTACAATTCGCGCATCTAAGTGATTTGGTTCTGGAAAGGGTTGGATCGGATGTGACATCTTGAAGAACCTGATCGCATGATCCGATCTTGCGACCGATGATCGCAATTTCGACTGGCGTAGAGGAGGGATTTCTTATCTCGATCCTCAGGAGGGTACAAAATGTTGTTACTGCAATCCGCAATGTCAAGAGATTCTTCACGATGAGCGAGTGAACTACGAAAGGACTGAAGGCTCCAAGTCTAAATTGTACTCTGTACAATCCTGGTCCATGAAGCTACCTCAAAAAACTTCAGTGGAATGTACTCCATCAGACAAGGGAGGAGGTTGATGGACAGATGGCGAATTCAACATGCTCCGGCTAATCGTCCACAATCAATCTGCAGCAGAAGGTGAAGGCATATGACTTAAATCATCATACTTTGAAAGCTGAAAACTCACCACTCCCGGAAAAATTTCATAGTCCTCATGGCTGCAGGTCACGGTCTAGGATGATCAGATAATCTGCTCTACCGGTCTCAAAATTCGAAAATTCCCGGAACTTCCTTGATACATCTTTGTCTCTTCGTTTCCTCAGATATTGAAATTGAGGAATTTTGGTAAATCCCTGTGATTCAGTACCTAGAACTCTCCCTTCCAGAACCACTACCGCACCGCAAAGCTCATGCGAGAAACAACAGAGGTTGCAAATTCTTCAGACGAAACAAAGGAAGAAAGGAGCTTACAATTTCATTAACTCTTACGGCCGGAGTAAATCCACAGTAGTGACGTACATCGTACGATACAGAAACAAAAAATAATCGTCCGATCGGTGGAAAGATTTCGCACTTGTTTGAATCAAATGGTCGATAGAACAGTAACATTATGCAAAAGTGCAAATCATCAAGCGGCCGGAAGAGAGGAACTTAAGAAAGCATAAAGCGCATAAAGCCCAAAAAGCGCCGAGGGAGGGAGGACGATGGCCTTGTCATGATTTTGTCAGTGACACGAGCGACGTGAAGTCTGCTCTTCAGGCACGTGTCCCTTATTCTGCAGAATTGGCGCACATCAGACGAGGAAGATCTGATTAGAGAGTCGACAAGTAATTAGGTGGATCTCCCCTCCTACCGTAGGACTTGGGTCTTTTATACACTACAGAGTACTGGAATGGTTGAGAAGGGCGATCTCCGTATTATACGGTCTTATGTACATATGATATACAATACACTACACATGATACCATATATATAAGTATCGGCTAACTTACGACTTTTCAAAGAAGATCTCAGTTTTTTCTGTGCTTTTACTCCAAAGCAAATAAGTGAGCACGCTGTGATTTATTTACCAGTGAGCTTTAGACCCCAGTATAGAAATGGGCACGAGTGTGACCGTAGATGGTAATAATTTGATCACACGCCGATGAGGCTATGGAGAAGAGTATTAAGGTATCAACGAAAAATCCAGACAATTGGAATAACAAACGCAATAAAGAACTCGTGGACAAAGTTTGAAGCAAACTGCCAATCTATGGTGCTATGTCAAATTCTACCGAACAGGCAGGACCAGACAGATTTGCGCCAGGGATTTCAGAATTGCCTTGTTATATGGTTTTCTGTCCTCTCCGTGGAGTTTGAGGTTTGGCTGGGAAGGATGTCTACTAGCTGTGGGTTGGGCTGGATGTCTACTAGCTGTGGGTTGGGCTCGACCAAGAGAAGGTTTTTGAGAGATGAGTGGGTTTGACAAGGGTAAGTTACTCTCTATGTAGGAGTACTTGCGAGGAGGATCATCATCCAATTAATCAAGGAGCTGTACTGATTTGCAAATTTTGATTGATTTGTTCTGAAGTAGCAATGAAGTTTTGTCAGATTGCTGGTGCCTTCATGAGCCCGTGTTGACGAAATCCGTTGAGAGGACATTCTTCTGTGTCGACTTCATCGCTTCAATGTCCAACGCAAGCACTTTCACTAACGCTTTTTAGGTTTCAAAGATAAGTGGTTATCAAAACTGAATCGTAGAATCTTCCCTTGTTCGAAAAGCATTTTGTTTTGGTTTTATATTCCATGTGGTCTTCTCTGTTGTTGTCTTGTTTACCTTTTGAGGTGGCGGCTGTATGCCGAGGAAAATCTCCCCGGTGCGTCAGAAGATTAACGTGGGAAGTGAGTCTGCGATCTGACCGAAGATATGAAACTTTTCCTGCAGTTTTTGCGAAATTCAGCTTTGATACACTGACTGCTGTCTTTAAATTCAGATTGAAATCTTGAAGAGTGAACCCGGAGGCTTTTCATTCAGCTGCCGAGCTGTAAATTCAATAAGCTGTGTAATACCAAGACTAGTACACCACTATACACGTTCTTTGCAGACCACGAGACGGTTTTCTTAATAGGCCAGATAGTAATTGCCATTTCATTTGTGATAGAAAGTGATCAATGTGACGCATATACTTATTCACAGAAATTGCCGCAGATGTCCTCGCCATAACTTATCGAACCACTCACCCTTGTACCATAGTATGTGATACTGCCGACTTGGAAGCTCTAATAAGAACCTGCACATCATGTAACTACGTGAGCTAGTGAAATTTGATGATGTATTTAGGCAGAGTTGTTTGGCCAAAATCGCTTCAGCGACTTAAATATGGATAGGAAGCGTGTATAAATACATATATATGGTAGTGGCCGTTACAAATTGGGCCTCGTTTTGTAGTACTGGTGTGTGGAATGCGCTCGAATTACAATGCTTCCTATTCCTCCGTATCACTTATAGTCTACGTTTGCCAGTCCTGGGATGTCGGTTGGTGCCCATGACTACAAAGTTTGTATCATCAAGCGATGAATCCGACTTTCTTTTCAAGTCTTCTCCGTATGAGGCGCCGTATTTCTTAAAAGTGTATGAAGTGCATTATATCGGCTCATTTAGGAGTGATAGCTGGAAATGGAACCATCCACGTTATTTGTGATGCTTGCTTCTTTGTTACATGGTCTTGAGGAACACTGATGTGTAGAAAACTAATGCTATCAGGTATATTTGTATTCCAAAACAGATGTTTTTCTCTCCGTTGATTAGTCTCTGGATTCATATCCGGAATCGATCTGGTCTACACTAGCTATTATATGTCACTGTACAAATTGACGCGGGGATGTGCAGATCAAATTAGTACTCCAGTGTACTTCTATATCTCTCAATTTCGGTTACAACTCCCGAGTCCTGTACGGATTAGTTGTAATCAGTATTCAGTCTTGCAACATATATAAATCTGATACACGCTAACTTTCCACGTTAACCAAAGACTCTGGATGTCTGTTCTGTAACCATATCATCTAAGCTTGCACACCCGTGAGTACCTTCTTGGTCCTTGGTATCACTTCTCTTCCACTTCCTTAGATTCTTTTAATTCTGTTTCTGGTCTTTGCTGGATTGTTATTTGCACCTGTTTGGCGTTTGTATTAACAACAGACATCGTAAAACAAACACATAGCATCATGAAAGCAGGTTGCAGGTGCAGATGCTTGGGAAGAATGTTAGAGCCCTCGTGTATGTATGCATATATAGATGTAACTGAGATACTGCTTTTGACTAATATTACCGAGCTACTTCAACAGCAGAATGGTTGCTTATACGGTCATAAGTTGTTGTGCGTTCGTAAATTATGGCTAGTGTGTGTTCTAAAATTGTTAATGCTTGCCAACGCTGGGGCCATTCGCAATTTTAAACAAACTAGAAATTGACGTGTATGTTTGGTCTTGTTTACATTGTTTATACTATGTCTAGAGCGTATTGAAATGTTCGACCCAAGATTCGTCTTATGGTCTTACAGCCAGAGGTAGCAATAGAGCAGACAGTGAAGTCTACTGATGCGTCTTACTTTTTGAGGTTTTAGACCGTATGCAGTGTCTGCGAGAATAAGACATGAATTTAAAGAATGGAAGTAGCGAGTGACCTGTCTGGCTGGCTTTCAGTTGGTGAACCAAACTCAAGGTAGTGAGATATGAACTGATAAGGCTAGACACAGACCCAACTTGGAAATCAGCTTTAAGGATGTAAATCAGAGCAGAAACAATAAGCGAGATATGTCTTAGGGATAGAAACAGTAGGACATCAAGAGGCTAGACGTTTACTTATTGCAATAAGCAGAAAGAGGAACGAGGGGCTACAGACGAACAAACCGGAGAAATTATGGATAACACAGATAGCGAGGTCAGTGGAAGTAGCGAGTGTAGCACCTGCGACATCAGTCGTAGATTCACTATTACATATGATGCCGAGTTTCCTGATTTTGAGTTAATGGTGCAGAAAGATGACATTAGCTTATCTTGATATGCTTGTTCACTACCTTTCCTTGCTGTTGTTTACCAGTGAAAGTACGCCTCGGCTGCATTTACCCTGTGCTCGCATGTCAGAGTTCCATACTGAACGTAAGGCCACGAGTGTTCAATGTTTAAATCACGTAGACGGTGAAGGCTTAAGGTAAATGCTGTTAAAGTGTTCAGTATTTTTGTACTCTTTTATCTAGTTACTCAAACCTTTCTTCGGAAGGCTTTAGTGGTAGAACTTCCTGCTGTAGCAGAGTTTTTGTATGCAGGCCATTCAACTACAATACATAAAAATAAATAGTGTACACGGTCTACGGGTGCATTTGCCTACTCGATGACAATTTTCATACAGAGTTTGTGGGGTACCCTACAGCGAGAGGAATGAAGTGAAGGTAGGACTCCAGTATCATAGAGCACCAAGCTTGATCCAAGTTTGCCCGGGCAGCTTTTAATGCACCAGAGAAACGCAGGTGTCAGTCGTCCTGTCTTATCTCATATTCTATGTAGGAACACAAGTAACTTGTATGGAAACTCTTATCTACTTTTATGAGGGAAACTCTTATCTACTTTTATGAGGGAAACTCTGGCTTATTCTGTGAGATCCTGAACGTGAATCCGTAGTCACAACTTGAACAAGACCTTAACTGTGCTCTCTTCCTACAGGTTGTTGATGGAACTGACCTCCTCTATTTTATCCCAAAGTCTTCACGCAGCATATACGTTGCTTTTACAGTATTTTGGCTGGACATCATATATCTGGATCAACGCGTCTGGATCAACGCGTCTGTTCTTATGCTGCACAACTGCAGCATAAGAACATATCCATTTCTTTTTATTTGTATCTCTTGAGAGTACTTACGAGTAAAGCTGTGAGCATATTGCAATAAGTTTATCCTAGTGTAAGGACCCTCATTTCGTTTCGACCAGATTTTTTTTGCAATTTTTCTGTGATTTGAGCCGAGGTTGGGCTTCCATTACAACGAAATCAGAACCTGGCCATGTAGGATGTCTGTCACCTTTAAAATAATTCTTGAGCACATGACTGCAAAAGGACATGATCTTTGGCATGGTGAAATTCGACCTAGGATTTTCTCGATCTGCTGTACATTTGTTGGTCCAACTTTGGTGAGCATAGTGAAACATTTGCTCCGGTTAAGTCCACAAAAGTTCTAAAAGCAACAACAATTGTACATCGTTCAGTTTTAAGCTTCAGTCGACTGACTGAAGCACAAGCACTGTCAACATGACTGGATCTGATCACAGACTGCATCGTTATAGGCACTAGCATAAGCCTTGCGACTGATAACTGCCAATTAGTGGACGGACTGCCTCCGCGTAGGTGTAAAGGAGCTTAGTGCCATGCTCTTGAGACACACCTGTTTACCATGAAGCCAGTTTTAAGAGTATCAATGTTTTTTCCCTCCAGAGAAAAAGCGTCTCAGAAGTGTGTCTCGAGTCATTCTAGAGACACACAGAATGGCTTCATATGCACTTCGTTGAAGGCAGAAACGCCCACAGACTGTGACTGGAACGTTTTAGGATAACTCGAAATCTTATAAATCTCAATAATAATAATCTTAGTAGTCTCATAAATCTCGCTGTACCCTAAGAAGCCTCACCTCCAGGAAGCTGGCGCCATCCAATGGGTGGTCAGCCTCTGGTCCCCCCAGTTCATCCATATCTGCACGCAAGCGGTGAGAAGTAGAAAACTTGAACTCTTGACCTGATAACTCAGATCTACATTTGGCTCGGTCGTCTCTTCCTTTCATTCTTTGTCCCTACGACAAGCGGGTTTAGGCTATACAAAATAACGATAATTGCACACTTCATCTCTCTGGTCTCTTATGGTTTGAAATCTTATTTGGATTTGGGTGTTGATTTTGGCGTGAGCGAGAATAAGTAGGGTAGTCGGCGAGATTAGTATTTATACTCTAGACCCAAAACAAACTGTAGGGCCTATATATTTTCAAACATAGATAATAAATACAGAATTTCTTATGCTATTTATTTCAGTTCCATGTAGAGGTTTACAATTTAAATTTTCAGGCCTTAAAATTAATTATTCTTAATAAATTACTTGGGTGGAGTATTTTTTGTTTCAATGTTCTCTTTCCCAAGAGTTAGTGTTATCAGTATGTACTAAGAAGATTATGGATAGAGAACTAGAAATTTATATTAGTTTACTTATTACAATTTTTTCATAATCCATTTTTTTTATGGATTATGAAACTATTGAGGTTTTTGCGAATAAAAATGAATACAGTACAAAATAGATTATGTAAATCTCATTCTTTTTATGCTGGTTATAGCTCCATTGCTCAAGAGATCTCATAGTGTTATTGATTTATTATATTTCGTGTATGGTTTTTCTATTCACAAAGAATATGAATGAAATGTATAAACACACATACTATTTATTATTAAAAAGTCTTAAATTCACATATTCTTTGCTTTATGAGGAGTATTCTTAAAATCAAAACCAATGCAATAATATAACTGGATTTGATGTGAGTGTTAAATAATAATATAATAACTGTTAAATTATGGCTAATACCTCTTTATGCTTAATTTACGTCATTGTATTATTGTCCAAATCAAGATACATAGCAAAAAATATTCAACAAAAAACTGAAAGAAGAAATAAATCATTCATGTAAGCAATATTAAATCTACAAAGTGCTTGTTGATGCCAAAGTCTTTATTATCATAATCAAACTAACTAAAATAAACAAAACTTATGTTAAGTTTGATCAAATATTAAGCAGACATCATGATTGGAAAAGATAAACAAGATTAGTTACTCGATTGAATATTTTTTTTGTAGATATATCGGTTTGCATGGATTTTTTGAACTTTAACAAGTTATAAATTTTTGGACTAGAAAAATCCTTCTTGTTTCAAATATTGTTTTGGTAACATCGTACAAATAGTTTTTTTGATATACCTACATTTGCTTGTATTGCAACTCATCAAGTTTCAAAATAGCAAATTTTAAATTCTAAATATAATCAATTGTCTCTTTTCTCGCATAAAAAAGTACAAGAAAGTTCACACGATGCGTAGTTATTTGATGAGAATATTGTTTTCATAATATTTGAGTTTGCAAGCTAGATTTTGCCGCCTTAAGTATATCCTCTAATTGTTAGTACACCTTCTAGCAAGTCATACTACTTACGGTAAAAATCTTGAACCACATTGGCTAACCGAGGATCAACACTTTTGGTCTTGACACGTGAGTTCTTCTTGACGTGATCTCTCTGGCCACATTTCCAACACATAGTAGTTCTCTAGTAATTTATTCCGAAAACCATTTCATAATCTTTGTCACATTGTAAATATAATACTTGAATCACATTTGGTACCGTAACAGATAAGACTACAGAGAAGATGCCATCCTCATCTTATAGAGTAAGTCATGAGTCAACATAGCACTTACAACTTCGTTGTAAGTGATTGGTTGTCTATGATAATGAAACAAAGACAGTTGATAGTGATTGATAAGTTGAAGACGAAGAATTCAAAAGATGAAAAACTTTTATATCATCATTGATATACTCTACAAGAATCTGAAGATCAATCACATAATAACTGAATGCATTGATGTGATCTATGATCTTTGTGTCATAATCTTTCATCTTGAAGCTCATCTGCTTAAAGAGTACATACAACATGTTTGATAGCTTTTTGAGATGAAAATGTTGCTAAAAAGCCTCAAACAAAATAATACATTCATCATACTCATCAATATGTCTCAAAACTAAAAGTTACAAATGAAGTATGATAATCGATCCACCTTCATCAACAATCTATAGTCTCCTCATAAGGTTGAATCCTAACATCTTTTTCATATTATACAAAATATTGTTGTGGATTTTGTTGGAATTTTTTTAATTGTAGAAAATGAGTCATTTTTTTATATCATATTTGATTATTTCACAAGGTTACATAAAATGTCGACTTGAAAAACATTAAGATAATGCTACATGATACGACATGGCAATTTGATTTGTATTCAAATCATCATTGTTTTTTACCAAGTTATGAAACTTGGTTTTTTATCATCCAAATTCAACTCTAGAAATTGTAATGTATAGTATAAAATAAGATAAGGTCAATTTTGATCATTTTATTACATTCATGATAATCAATGTAATTTGACAACCATGATTGTGCAAATAAAAATTAAATTATTATGGACTAAAATTCCATTCGATTGTGTTAAAAAACTATACACAATATGTTGTTATAAACTCTCTTTTGGCTAGATATCACGCACTCATGGTTATATCAAAAATCGTACTTATACTCAAATTCTCTTTCTAATTTTGAATCATAACATCATGATAGGAATAAACTCATCTGCATAAATATACATATATTATGTCAGAAATGATATACACAACTTGTATTATCCTAGTAGTCAAAAAATTTACTTCAAACAAATTAATGATAAAAAATTGAATAACAAAACCTTGTGCATTGAAATCTTCATACGAGTTGCAAAGTTAAAGAGGGTCTTTACCACATTATTCGTATTTTACTGTGATTGGGCCTTTAACCTACGCCGGGTCGACAGAGTTCATCACAAAATAGAGTGCAAATCCCAAATCTGTCAGATGTCAACCCTCGTGAAGATGGTACTCAGTAATTTTCGTCTTCCGATAAAGGAATCAGAAGGCAAGGAAAAGATTCTCCGAATAAGGCTTTGGTTCATAAGGTACGTCGAAAAAGAGTCGAGCCCAAATAGGGACTCGGAAATTCCTGTGAAGAAAGAATGAAGGCGAAACGGTAATGGAAGATTCCGAGGGGCCATAATATACGAAGAAAGGAAGAGAGAGCGTTGAAATATTCAAACGAAGTGGCAGAAGGGTTGGCAGAAGAGTTCAGGCGACGGCAGAATCTTCGTCAAAGACGACGATGGAAGCTTGGCAGCGTCGTTCGTTGGGGCGATCCAAGGGCGTGAAAAAAGTCACCAGATCCATAAGGGCATCTGCGCTCTGACTGGCCGCAGGGCGCGCGAATGAATGGGCCGGCATGCAACATACAGTGCTCGCTAAAAGTTAGCGGCATGTTCTCGCACTGCTTGAAACAAAATTTTATTTGTTCTGCTTTACTTTCGAGTCAACTCGATGAATGTGGATAGGGCTACATATAATACAAATGTATTCCAAAGGTCGAAGCTCGCGGCCCCAGGCCAGAAGATGCTCGCTGCGACGAAAGACCAGCAGGTGGATTTATTCTTCTTTAGGCATTGTTTATTGTGCGCTGCGTTCTCCGGCACGGAGATGACTCACTCGCCCACAACATACGACCAGAATGTTTAGTCAACTGATTTCAGGCTTCCAGGATAATAACATCGATGGTGGTGGCCCTGCGTCCGGTTTATCTCTTCCTTTGTTTATTCCCATCTCTGACCCGTACATGTTAGCAGCAATATTATAACAGGGTGCTCGAGGTCGGATGGCGCAGCAGAATCGCTGAGGCTTCGAGCCCAAGATCGGCATACAGACGCCTGAAAAGACAAGTCGATGTGAAATTCAACGTGAGTTACTTAGGGAGATGTGTCTTCTTTTCGAGCTGAACTCGCTTTACCGTCCCCCACTCTACAAACCAGCTATGGCTCGGATCTGCATAGGAAAAACAGTTTCCTCCACTAGATTTGATTTGATTCTGCAAGTTGCGAGTCTTTACACATGGCATTCACTACAGATATTCTTTCTCTGACGTAGGTGGGAAGAAGCACGTCGAAGATAGTTTCCGTTCATGTCCATCTGTCAAGTGAGTTCCCATACTGGCCCTTGTACTTAATGAGGTCAATCTAGACGGGAGTGCACATCTAATCGAACTCAATGCGCTTTTCGCAGTTCTTAGCGAGTTCAATATTTCTGTACGTGTCATGTCTAGCTTTCACCAGCTACTTCGCCACAATTCTTTTGCCCATTGCAAACATTCTCAAAGTGCAATCTTGCACCTATAGCTCGTACGATCGAAATTTCGTGCCTTTTTAGGTTTCCCAAAATGGGTGAATTTGGATTACCGTGTAAAGAAAGGTAAGAAAGATTTGCTCTTATCTTGGAAAGATTGCGGCAACATGGAGGGTTATCTCCCGCATTTTTCGAACTGCCGAAGATAGTCCTAAAATACTGGGGGCTCTTACCAAACACATGAAGAGAAATCCAGAACGTGAAGGTCTGGATATCTCAAGGCTGATCTGGGACTCCAGACCGGAGCCATTTGCCCTGTCGATATTTCCAGTGTAGGTACAGTGCTCAATGTTACCAAAAATTGACTGGGCCAATGGTTCCAAATGAAAACTGCGAATTATCTGGCGGCGTGAAAGCCCTAACCCTGCGAGAAAGTTTATGAAAGTATCGTGATTTGGGTGAGGACCCATTATGACTTTTTGAAAGCAAGCTGGGTTGGAAAATCCTGAAATCCTAATATTGCCACTGGTTGCTTCTCTAAGAACATTACGATTATCTCAGATTCCACGGAGGAACCTGCTATTACGCATCAGATTGAGAAAAAACGTAAAGATGGATACGAGCAGTCTACGATTTATACGTTTGCATTGCTTCTTTCTATAGGTGCAGACTATCGTAAGATAGCACTTTTAAGACTTTTGAGCTATATTTTGAATACTGTCTTATTGAATAACACAAATTTACGCAGACTTAACCTAACGAGGTGATATGTCTTGACTTTATATCTTTCCGAGGCTTAAGTCATCTTCTTAATCTCCCCGCCTAAAGTAATAAGGAGTCAAATTTTCACATAGGAAACATAAATGTGTTCTAAGCCTGATTAAAACTGCAAGCGTTGAAGGCATTGAAGATTTCAGGACATTTCATGTGTGTTGTTCATTTGTAGCTATGAGAATGAAGATTGCTATGATGATGAATGAATCGAGATAAGATTTCCTATGTAAAATTTTTAGTGATTTAGATGCTGTTTCAAATTATTGCAATTACGAGGGCTTAAGGCGGGTTCCTTGTCACCGAAGAGGGAAGTGCCTGATAATATCGCAACCTCCCTGCGATTTACCGTTCTCTTCGAGAACCATCTTATCTTGGAGTGTTTCGCTCATAAAACCTCGCGTTTATTTCCTTCGTTTGGCCTACCGAGGGTTTAGATCGTCCACCGTGCCTAGCAGCTGATCAATTTCGAGAAGGGAAGGCTGGAAGAGTGTTGCAAGTTTTCACAAGATTGGCAGTCACATTCTTAATGTGAAAACATGAGGTGTCAACGTCGACGAATCCCGCTCCTTGGCGCGCGCGTGCGGCCAGGAGTGCGGATGGCGTCTGAATATGGACACCTTCCTTTGTTCTCTTTGACTGGAGATTCATAAAGGCTCAGGTCAAAAGAGGTCAAATGAGAGGTGCCCAACTCCTACGTTCTTCTTCATAGCGGATACCGAATACACTCCTGGACTCGTGGAATGTATATTCAACGTACAGGAATCCTAGGGTCAGTGAAACTGCGCCCTAGGATTCCGTGCATTAGTTTAGGCGTTTCCGGGTTCTTTGTAAGTGCAGAAGATGACAACCGTAAACACCGATGCGTACATCGCGAAAAGGATGGGAAGGCACCAAAGCAGGATTACAATCGTAAACATATTTGCGTCTGTTGTCACACTGTGATTTCACAAATTACTGACTCAGAAGTAAAGTGCTCGTCGTTTGATACTCTGTAACGGGAGAAGGAAAAGAGTCGGTATTTGACCGTCGTCGTTCTGTATACTGCTAGGATTCCGTTCTCGTAAGTAAGGTCCCATAAGTCTGGGTGGATGAGGTTGCTCGATTAGAGAATTGTCTGTAAGCAGATCCATTGGTGGCTGGGGGCGTGCAGAGACCATAATGAAGGCTATAGATGAGTACAGAAGATGGTGTGCTTCTACGCCTGGTGCTGCAGGAGCCCAATCATAGCGCAGCGAAGATTCTTCTCCTTCCGGACCTTCAAATTTAGAAGACAGAAATAGTCTAGAAAGTCAAGAAGGTTCTTCAAGCCTGCTGCGTTGCACGTTGGACCGGAGAACAGAGTAGAGGATGTGATGAAGACCGAGGTATAGCGGATTCTTGAGCGACGACGCAGGCAGGACATCAATGTTTTTGTTTCCAATACACAATTCGGCTGCGCGGAAAGGGAACGCAACTTACAAAATGCTGAGAAGTGCATGTAGACCCGAAGCTAAAGGACAGCGGGTGGCTTTGGTTAAGTTTTTGCGATGCGAGGGTCTGGGTCCCACCTCGTATTGTTGGTGCCACCAATCGCAAATCCAGCACTGGACGTTTGTCCAGCGATCATCCATACGTCCATAAAAAAACACTGGACCTACGGAAATCCGAAATTGGAAATTGCTGAACAAAGAAACGGACGCATGGAAGGTCGCCGGTCACGGAGACTTAGCACAGAAGGAGAGAGAGGGATGATTTCAGTTCGAGGAGAATTAGCCCCGGACAGACAAGCTGGAAAGGAAACAAGGGTTCGGCTCTTCCCCGAGGCCACGAGAGGCAGCAGGTCCTGTAAGAAGAGCAGAAGGCGAGGAGTTGAGGTGCTTGTGCATCGCTTTTGGAGCACCATCCTGACACATGATTGCGACTGTACTTAGAGGATGGGAGGAACGCGAATGAATGGGGTGAATATGGATTTGCCAGAGGATGAAATTGAATACTAGAGAAGACGAAAGGACAGGCGTTGCGCAGTTAAGAGCAGAGGTGGGAAGAAGGCTCGTTAACAGCTGGGACCCACAAAAGGTTGAGGCAGACAGAGACGAGAACACGAGAGGGGGTCCTAGACTCGGGCTGGAGATCGGGCTCGAAGACTGTTCGCTCGCTCTAGGAGAGCAGTGCCGAGGTCCTGCCAGCTTTTTGTCGTACTTTATAAACAAGTCTCGGGCTGTGTTCGGTAGTCTACTCCTCTTCTATACACCACCTTGCTTAGGAATGTTTCTGTTCCTTCGGAGGTGAAGCTCCGGCAGGCATGCAGGCAGACAGAGTGTGAAAGAGAGAAAGAAATGTCTTGGGATTGGAAAAACTTTGAGATATTGAGCCCTTGGTCATGGTGTCATTGACATCGTAGTGTAGATGGTGGTAGCAAGGATGATGGGCTCTTCGCATCAAACGAGGGAGTGCGCTAATTTAAGTCAGTTCACAGGAAGGTGTTACTACCAGAGATTAGGAGTAGATCTTGAAGAGCTGCTAGATGGTTCGTGTAGCGATTTCACAATCACAGTGCAAGGCAAGGCATTCCCGTTACACCGTTGTATCCTGTCGGCACGGTGCAGTTTTTTCCGCAAATTATTTCGTCACCCTCAAATTGAAGAGCCCAAAACCGAGCTGGATCTGGGAAAGGTAGCTAATCTCGAAAAAGTTGGACAAGAAGCGTTTCTCGCCGTCGTTAAGTACATTTACGGTGGAAGAGTGAGACTCTTAGGAAGTGCTGTCACGTGTCTGGACGATACTTGCTCTCATGAGGCTTGCAACCCAGTAGTGAAGTACGTTGAGGACTTCCTTCGCACCGCCGCGGTATTTGACCTACCAGAGCTGAAGGGTCACGGTGAGGTAAATTTTATTAGCACTTTATTCAAGCTGTACGCGTCTGGGTCTTGTGTCAGCTTCTAGAGCTTTGGTTCCTTTCCCCAGTGCTATGTCACCTTCTTGAACTGCAGGACGAATGTATGCATTTGACCAACTTCCGCTCAGAAAATGTATGCATTCATGATGTCTATCGCTTGATAATTGTTGAAGGCAGAACTTTTGAACAAGGGTGCCACGGGCTTTACATAGAATCTACGCAATTTATGTTCTCGCCATCAGGACAGAAGTGGGATGAAGCGTTAGCCTTTGGTCTTGGACACCGTAGGGTTAAAATTGGAGCTCTTCTCCTTAGCGAAAGTTTAGTTGTGGTTTCAAGGAATCTGCTCTTGTCTCCCTCGTTGATATACACTTTCGTAGTGAGTTTTGAAGTTAACTCCATCTCGTAGTCATTGCTTTCTACAGCAATCGAGGTCCCAGTGTCTATCAATTTGAGTCATCAATAAGTGTCCACAATTCATTCTTCTATCAGGTTTACCCTAAACTTGCTGACATGAGCTGGTTTGAGCCAAGTTCCTTTCATCATTGTTTGAAAATTGCACGTGGAGTTGTAGATGCTTAACAGTTATGATTTGTTTCGTCAACGGTATTAACAGGACACGGGTTTTTCTCTTGTTTTGCTGTGGATGAGTTCAGCATCACTTGTGCGGTTTGGTGGATAAAGTTCCTGGAGAATATCTGACGAGTATGATGAAAGTCGCGAAGACTCATGGAGCAGAGATGTTATACAACCGCTGTATCCATGTTCTAGCCAACAAATGTAACTGGAATTACCGTAGTCTCCAGAAGTCTTTAGGAGACGAGCTTGCAAATCAAGTGAAGGAGCTTAGGAAGACACTAGGTTTGTTGATGCCAACGGATGAAGACGAGCGTCGGGACACAGAGGCGTGGCGTGTGCAAAGAGCGTTGGACTCTGATGATGTTGAACTGGTACAGATGTTGCTGAAAGAGGGACAGTTTAGTTTTGATGATGTGCATGGGTTACATTATGCAGCAGGTCACTGCGACGAGAAGATTGTCAGAGAGTTACTGGATTTGGAATTATCCAATCCAAACGTCAAAGATTACAGCGGTTACACTGTTCTGCATATTGCATGTATGAGAAGACAACCAGAAATTCTCGCAGGTCTTTTAGCGAAAGGGGCACGACCCAACGATGTCACCCCAGATGGCAGAACAGGTTCGCAGATTGTCAAGAGGTTGACAAAGAAAGGAGGAGACGGGTTTGATAGTGCGGCTGAAGAAGAAGCTCAGAGAGCCAGACTTTGTCTTGAAATACTCGAGCAAGCGGCCGTCACGACCAACACAACCTACTCCAGATCATTTCGAGAAGTTGTAAACATGCCTGTTACATCCGAAGAAGAGCTTGTTCAAAAGCTTCTCTATTTGGAAAATAGAGGTATGCTGGCAAGTACATTCTCATGCCATCCCAGTGATTAATAATGGCGAGAACAAGTTTTGGGGTTATCTGCGATAGTTAAATGCGACGAGATATTCGACTTTTATTAGAAAGGAATGTGGGGTAGTAGTTTTTTCTGTGGAAGCTCCGCGATTACGCAGCCTTTAATTTTTTGCCGGAGTTACGGTTTGCTTGATCTGGTTTGTGGATATCTAATCCTGGATCCTGGATCCTTGATTAGCAAGTCCTTTCCAACCAAGAGATATCTCATGAGTTGTCTGGTCTTGGCAGTGGGTTTAGCAAAAGTACTCTTCCCAAGAGAAGCACAAATTGTGATGAATCTTGCACATTTGGAAGCAACATCGGAGTTTACTGGCGTCGATAAAGCTGGAGCAGCGGACAACGTCTCAGCATCTAACTCGCCACTTTTTTCCGGTAAGACTTCATCCTTCGTAGGGTGGGACTGTAGTTTCTCTCGTGCAAACACATTTCATGGTTTGAACTCATGAACCCACTTTTGAACATTGTACTTTAACAGCCAAAGCTCAAGCACTGAAGCGTTTTCCAGCCACTAGTCAAGGTCCGAAGGTCGAAGGATCAGAAGGCGGGCTTGATGCAACTCTGCTTCGTAGAGTCACAGCGCTGCAAAAAACAGGTATGGTACTCATACCTTAGTATCCGCAAGATTCTCGAAGTTTTTGCCGAAGAGTGGACTGCCCGAATGTTGGATTCTTTTTAGAGATAACTCAACCGACTGTGGAGTAAAGGAGAGGAGGGTAGTAGCAAAAGTTTTAGAGGTTGCTGTAGAGCCAGATGATTTCTAGACTTGAATTGTAAAACGCTAGCTTTAGTTGTGTTCTTATTATTTTCACTCTCAGATTATCATTAAACAAGATATCTGTGTATGCTCTAATTCTAATAAGACAAGATATTCCACTCACTGGCCTTGGTTTAAAGCCGAAAGCAGCAGCAGTTCTGAGCCATAGCTACTGCGTTTTCTGTGACTGTTTGGTGGATGGGTTAGTGACGGGTCTTCTAGTTGGTACCTGTAAAATTGAACTTGATTTAGTACGTGGGACAAATCCCATTTAAAAAAAGACCCCGGTTTAAGTACTTCGTTCTCGTTGTTCTTCTGCTGCTATCACGGCTCCTCCCATTACTCAATCTCTTCATACAAGTAATCTTTAGCCAGGTTGGGTTAGGACGAGAGATTAATTCTCAGCGGTATATACGGTCCTCAGGCTATGACAGGCACATACTCAACACTAATCTTCAAGAAGTCGGTTATTATCAGAAGTTTCGCGTAGAATCTTACAACTGAATGTGTGTTGACAAAATTATTGCATTGAGCATATCAGGAAAGAACTTGTTCTATTTCTGATTCAGTTCTCTATTTACTACTTTTGAATGATTCCATCCGCTTTGTGGTTTTTCTGGTATGGTTTGAGATTGTAGCCATCGTTCTCACATTTTCGCCGGATCGAGATATGGTATTTTTCTTTTGTACAGGTTTGTATTTTCTATTTATATAAATATACATATTTTAATGTGCTTTCCAAGTTAGAGAACGCATTAAAGTAGAGTTTTCAATCTGGAGCAGAAAGAGAACCACGTCTGTGGAGAGACTGTTATTATTATGACCTTTTGAAACATGGCCGTATATACACTATTCTGTCTGCTGCGGGAATCGCTAAGTGAAGTTCGCGGATCAGTCTGGTTACAACCAATTGGCATTCAATGAGTTACCGAATGTAGCAATTAACTTTGGCCACCACTGTGAAAGTTTTCGCTTTATTAGTGTTGACTTGAGAACTGCTAGTCTGTTTGATGTCTATTGTTGTACATTCCATTGTATGACTTGACAGTTTCCCACCAGTTAGTACTTTCCTTCCTCTAGACAGATTTGTAACTCACAGTAACATCTTTTTCCATCCACAGTTCGCTCACATCGATGCTACTCAGTTCCTTTTTGACCAAGGAGAAAGGTTGAGTGCCAATTACTGCACATTCAATGCTTGACAAGTATGCCTTCAATGGGTCTTCTTTCTTAGAAGAAGTCTCTGTATTCCCAATTGTCTTGAGCGGCTCTTGACTTCTCGTTCATAAAGTATGGACTCCCAAGTTCATCAAGACTGCAAAACTGTTGTCTTGATGAACTTGGGTGTCTCGTAGTAATTCTGCGTTTGATATCTACGTTGGTTGGCTTTATTGCTGAACCTTCTTTGTCGTTTATTGTGTTCGTTTTCGTGAGCTGTGTTGTTAACTCGGTATCTAGAGGCACCAACCAGAGTTTTCACATTGATTTGTTGGGCTTCTAGTTCTCCATAGACTCCGCGCGGTACAGTGGAGAAACCTATGCACCTCTGTATCCACTGATAACGCAGCCGAGTCTAAGTGACGGGAAAGTGACGCTTCCCGTTCAATTATCGTTGATGGTCACTGGAGGGCTGTCTTCAGTCGGTCTAGATTCTCTATACCGCACACTTACATACCACCACTGTCAGCGGAGAGCGGGGCTCCTCGGTGTATCAGACCGTGTTACTACTTCTGGCTTCTTCATGCATCGGTTTGTCTTTACTTCTTGCTATGTAGTATACTTCGTCGGCATCTTTGAGACATAAAACCTAGATCTGTGCCGCCTCGATGTCTTACACACTAAACCGTTGCGGCAGCTGATGTACCATTTTATCTGTATTTGTGGGGAGCACCGATCGCATTCACCTTTGCATGTTGGGCTTCGGTATCTACTGGGAAAGGAGTGAAAATCATATGACAGGAAATTGACGCTTTCCGCTCAAATACGTTGATGGTCACTCGAGGACTTTCTTTCGTCCTACTGGTTCCTCCGTACTGCACAGATATCTCTCCACCACAGTCACTACGACAGACGTTCTGCTGCTCCTTGGCTACTACCTCCGCATTGGTTCATTAACTTACTATTTCAGTTCGTACTTTCCATCTAGTAAATACTCTTGGCTCCTGTGGGACGTAACACCCAGATATTAGTTGCTTCGGTTTCTTGCATGCCAAACCCCAAGGCCGACCATTATTATCTTATCTGCATTGAGGACTTTTGTTTCAGGGTTGCTAATATGTGCTTTCTATAATGATTGCAGTGGAGCTGGGTCACCGTTTTTTTCCTCGATGTTCGGAGATACTGAATAAGTACATGGATGACGACATGGGTGACAATGCCTTTGTGGACAAAGTAAATCCAGATGAGCATTCAACGAAGAAGCAGCGCCTAGATGAACTCAAGGAAATTCTAGCAGAGGCCTTTACTATGGATGTTGCTGACATGGACGAACAAAAAGGTTCAGAAAAACTTCCACCTTCATTATCCTCTTCTTCCTCTTCTTCGCAAGGAGGGAGTCCAAGTACGAGGAGTCCACATACCAAAATTGGCTGAGCGAATCATTCCCTAAATGGCAGAGGAGGTCATGTACACAGTTTTGACACCGACACGAAGTTGAGTTAATTACTTGATCGCAATGTACAGCAAATACCCCATGTAGGATATGCGGAGCCTCATAGCATCAGTCTTCTTTGAGTTGCCATGTAGACTTGGGCTAGCATTTTTAAATAGTGTAATATCGATGTAGCTAACGGGAAGAGGCATCTATAGGGGTTCTTCTTTGCTCTGCACAAAATCAGCGTTAAGAGAAGAGCTCCTGCTGTAATCACATCTGTGTTGAGTATTCACGAAAGCGCTTCACTAGATAAGTCGTTTCGGCAGCTTTGACTATAGTACTTTTAATTCCAGGATTGCTGCTGGTCACGTGGTGGTGACTATTCCTTTCTTTTGTGACATTTGTTTGCTTTCCATATCTCGTATTATACTTCTTTGCTTGTCATATCTTCTTGCGGATGTGAGACTTTGTTATATCAAAAATTTTGTATTTATCGTGTACCCTTTTTTCTCGTGCGTTGGTCTCTGAGTTGTTCTAAAATGAATGCTTTGGTATTGGATGTCGTGTCACAATTCAAATAAGTAGAATGGTGTTTTTTCACTTACTATTCACAAATATGAATGTTGTGTTAGATACGTGATAAATATCATATCCGTTTGTCAAACTAACTGAGCTGCTTTTGATCTAGCAGAGGCAGAGGCAGAGGCAGAAGTTCTGTTCCGGGATTTGGGACTCACGAAGGTAGGTGGTAAGCTCTCTGCAAAATGGCGAGAGGTGCATCAAAATGTATAGGTACACACAATTCTTTAAACCAAGTTGCATAGTGTACAGCGAAAAGTTTACTTGACTGAAGGTTGATCGGATCTTCAACCCAGGTCTTAACAGAGGATAATAGCTTCTGTGCTTTACTTTCTAGCTTCAAGCAACATTAGAAGTCTTGTTCAGTTTGTAAATAGTCATCCATCTTCCTTCAGATTTTCTCTCTCTATCTGATGTCGTGTGTAGAGATTTTGTTCAGTAAGAGTCCAGATCAAAGGAAGCTTCTTGGCAAAAAAGTCCCACGATTGAGTGCCGTTGAGTTTGTTTTTTCCTATCAAAGGAGGATCAACAAATCAAAAGTTCGTTGAATTACTTAATCTCGTTCGATGATCTATATCCTTACGAATCATGTTTCAGATAACACTACTCGCCTTCAAGGGCCTTCAAGGCAGCTGTTAGGTTATTGGCTAGTCAGCCTTCGCTCTTCCTGAAAGTGATCTCATTTTTTCACATGAAAGACCCTATAGACTATGTGTACTGTCTTTAGATTGAACATTTAGGTAGGTGTTTGACTTATGCGCAACCTGATACATTCATTCGATCGTCTTATATTCCCCAGTTTCCAACCCCCCACCCGTTAGAACACATTAATACTTGCACCTTCTTTACCTAACCATCATGTTATTATACACAGGATTGTTCTGCTTTTCTTGAGTTATATACACCACGTGGGCTTGTTTGTAATCTTCGACAATTGAATAGATACCGAGAAAGTCTCTTTACTTTCCTGCCCGGAAAGAGACGTTCACTTTCTTGCAAGCGGGGCATGATACATGTTTTAAGTGAAACGGTTTGATGTGTACAGTTGGAGACCACTGGCTCTTAACCCATCGCTATACGCTTCCTAATCCAGCTCAAGTTTTAGTCAGCATTAGACGTACTGTTGAAACGGTTTGATGGGTGGTTATTGGAGACCACTGTGCAATTGGAGACCATCGCCGTTCGCTTTCCAATCCTGCTCAATATCGAGTCAGTGTCGTAGATACTGGATCACTACTTTTAAATTTAAACATTAAATGTGTGTGCTTTTCTTCTCTTCGCCTGCTTCGTTCACGTAGGCAGACTTTTTGATCGGTGTAAGGTTCCTCAGTAACCAAAAACACATTATGCCTATGTGGATTGTAAAGTTCGTCAATTAATAATGACATTTCAGATCGCTTTCCCATCTCTATTACTTGGTTCACTGTGGCCGGACACCATCAAACATCCCTGAACTTTGTTTGCAGATCAGGTTTGTCCATACCCCATATACGCTTCGTTCACGTAGGCAGACTTTCTGATCGGTGTACGGTTCCTCAGTAACCAAAAACACATCATGTTTATGTGGATTGTAAAGTTCGTCAATTAATAATGACCTTCCAGATCGCTTTCCCATCTCTATTACTTGGTTCACTGTGGCCGGACACCATCAAACATCCCTGAACTTTGTTTGCAGATCAGGTTTGTCCATACTCCATATACGCAGCCATATGAAATTTATGATTCTCATTTTCCGTCTTTTCTGAGCAGCTCGAGTTTAGTACCTTCCTGCACAAAAATTATAGGGAACGCCAGGTATACTTCAGTTTATGCTAATTATACTTCACCCTACTATACTGTAAGGTTAGGATAACATAGTCAAGATAGAGTCTCTTCATAGCTCCATCTTTCTTGTTATCAATCCTGCGCCTGCCCATAGATCATATAGCTTTGCACTGCCCATAGCCTAGATCAACGCGGGATAACTCTGGCAGTGGAGCTAGCGTGTTCTGACCAATCACAGACCTCACTTTTAAGCACTTTATATAATTTATGTGAGGTGACGAATAATTAGCGTAAAAGGAGCTATAACTAGCTGATCCCAAGTTTTATTGTGGGAAGTAAAACAACGCATTCGCGATTTGCACGGAATTGTTAGAAGACACAAGAACTCGAAGGCCTTCTTGAACATGTGATTCTACTCCGAGGAACCACATGTGCAAGAAGGACAGGCCGCTGGCTTGACCAGATTTTCCAGGTTTTATCGTGAGCTCTCTCCGTTTGTCTAACATAAATTTTGCAAACTAATAATTTCATTGCCTCGTGTGTGTATATGAGTACGACTTTTGAATTAACCCTCAGTATTTAGTAGTGGGCCTCATCAAGAAATATTGAATTTCATAAACACACGCAAAGTGCTAACTGATGAGTTACTGAAAACAAGGGAGAGACGCTAAAGGCCGCTGGGAGGATCCGGTGTTGAACCAGGGCAACGACATGGTTGAAGCACCCCTAAAGCCTTAACCAAGTCGTGGCCCTGGTTCTGAGAGACTGTTAACCTTCGAAGCCTGTGAGTGGGCTTCTAAGGTTAACAGTCTCTTAGAACCAGGCTGATAGCGGATGTGTCGGAGAACCTCATCCTTGTGATAGCTTAACGTTATGCGCCGTGCATCTGTATATGGACTGATGGCATCTAAGTAGACCCAGTAGCGGCTGGTCTCCCAAGTCTGCGGTAATTTTATTGGATGATGTTACCGATTTTCGCGTTTAATATCTGTTCCCCTTTTGTTGGTTCATGTACATAGATCTACGTTTGTTTCAGCCTATTGCAAATTAAAAATCCTTTGGTTGGTTGAACACGTCATTTTCAACATAACGGGTCCTTCTTGGATGAATCTCGCTTCTTGGACCACTGGGTTCGAATTGGGACCCCCGTAGTCCAAGGGACCATGGGGATCTTAATCAAAGTTTTAAGATGCAGAGTCGCAAAGCCTACGTATTGGCTTCGGCATTAGTTTACTTGATATGGCTATGGTTTCCTTACCTAGGGCGCGGACATTCCTAAATAGAGAACTTACTAGGCACGCCATTATTTCCAAAAGATACATGAGTCTCTTTGTACTGGCCCACGCACCAAACAAGAGAAGCTCAACTGATGTGATGCTAGGTAAGCCTATCTCGCGCAGATATGATGACAACGGCGGGGGTGGAGATGGGCGAGAACAGGGATGAATTCTGAACCCCGGTGTTATATATTTTACAATAAATTTAGGGAACGATTAGTTATCGCTCACTTAGAGTTAATTAGATTGCAGGCTAGAACCCGATCGTATGATTGTGGGCTAACGGCATACACGGATTGCGCAAGGTTTCAAATTTGACGCATGATTACAGACACGTGTCGCGATTACATTATCCGCCCGTCAGTCCGCAGAATTATTGTCAGGGTCACATCTGCTCGATCACTCACGGACAATCCATGGACTCGTCTTCCTCGTCCTCGGAGTACATGTCATCACCTCACAACTCTTCGAAGTCCTAAGCGGGATTATCGTTAAGGTCACGGCCGCTTTCCTTCGGGACCTGGAGTCGACATTGGCCTCACGCCGATCGAACAAAGTTTGCGAGTCGATTTTTTCTCGCTTGGACGCATTTCCGGGGCTCTCTGACCGATCTCCGTGACTCGGAGTCTTCACACGGCCGATTGTGCTCTTCTGGCCGATTCGCGCTCGTTCGACCTCCATCCGTTTGGCAATCCGCGGATTTTACGAAAGGAGCTTACCTCGCCTTTTGTGTCATTTTGTCACCCTTCGGAATCACTTATTCAAATGTCTTTAATTGGGAGACTTCGTCAATCGGGAATGTCGTCGAGTCGTAAGGTTGTCTGGACTTGCAAGTTGTGCCGAAGGGCTCGGGAAAAATGCAATCTGGTCAGAACCGAGACAAACGACCCATGCATCCAATCCTATGAGCCAACTAGTTCGACATGACAAGGCTCTGCACAGAATGGGAATTGACCTGAGTGACTGACGACTGAGCGTTGGAGAGTTCACTATCAGTCTACTCTAGCGTATGTCTTTTGGGGTGGCTATCAGGGTGGCTAATTCCATTGTTTTTCCCTCCCATCGAAATCTGAGTCAGATCTGCCATCCTTTTGACACATTGTCGAGAACTTATTGAGGCTCAGTATTTATTTGCTTTCGCTCATATGGCCGTGCTCAGGAGTAATACCAACGTGTAATGAACTCCAGCATTCCCGTCATTATGGACTCCACAACTGTCGATAGCATAACAAGGAGCTGTTTTTCAGTGACCTACTCCCAATTGTCCCCTGAGGACCGATTCCATGGGAGGTGCATTCCACGAGCCAGCTGAGGGTGAGTCGAGAGAGGACTTGACTTGAATTGGACCAATTTTGCCAATCCTGGCTGAGCACGGACCTCTGCGTTCTCGTCTGAGCCTCTCCTCTGTCTTCCATTTTTTCGCAGTGGACTCTCCAACGTAAATTCACAAAAACACGGACGACCTTCACTATGTACCGTCCTGATACACAAAAACTCCTCTCCAGGCCTCATGAAATCAGACCCCCAAGCTAGTCGCTCTGGCTCAAATGAATCACCCTGTCAAATTGAGGACTTTTAAAACTTTCTTTTCTAGTCTCGGACTTCAAAGATGAAATTTGTACTTCCAAATACTGCGAGCTCTAATTCTCTTTCTTGTGAAAAAATGTGAACACTTAATTTGGTCAATGTGCTATAGTTGTGGTAAAAACAGGAAAAATATTATTTATTGAATATGGAGACATGCTTTACATGCTTCTACCATGTCGATCAAGAAAGCTCATCTCTTGAATTAGAGTTTAAGAAAAAAAACTTTAATTGAGAGAAATTATTCTCTGTAATCATCTTTAGTTAATTAGAACTAAAGTAAAGTTTAATCAAAATGTTTATATATTTATTTTAGAACCCACTAATCATAATTGTCACGTCAACAATCCGCGTGTTTGGTAATTAGAGAATAAGTGTGTTAATTGACAATGTCACGTCAGATATCCGTGTGTGTTTATAAGAGTTATCTGGCTCGTGATTCATACTCTAGTAGTGGGATGATAAAAATAAAAAACTTATCTCCTTGTACTTGTTGGGAAGAGCTATATAAGAGAGAGTAAAATCATTGTTAGTATCTCTCATCTTCGGAGTTTATGTTTTCATCTACGAATGAACTTTTCTCAAATACTAGTGTTTCAATCTCTCATGAATGAGATAAATGAGCTCAAGACATGTATTCAGTCACTGCAATACAAGATTATCTCTCTCACAGAAACATCAAATTCATTACAAGACAAAAGAACAAAGTTGAAGAACACAAAAGTGTGTTTGTGTGTGTATGCATCAGTTGTTGTGCTCAGATGACAAAGTATACATGACAATGTGCAGGAAAAGAACAAGTTGTTTCGTACTAAAATTAATATTGTAAATTTCACACTCATAACATCTAACAGAGCTGGAGTATCCAAAAACAACTTGAGTAGAAAAAGTGCCGAGTGAGTAGCATGAAGATGAGGATATACAACACCAATCACATAGTTCATGAGAACTAGATACACCACTTCAAACCAACGGCGCTTCCACTAGATCCAAATAATCTGATAACTTCTCTTGAAGCATCATGTTTTGAGGAATGGAAGAAAACTGGCATGCTTGCTCAAAAGTACAACCCCTATCGAGAGCAAAGTCTTCGTCAAAGTAAAGACGGAATCTCCCGGAGCCAAGCAACCTGAACTTATCCTTGTCCAACTCTTCCTTCAAATACAAAAGAGAATTTTCTTGAACGTGAACTAGTCTGATCATTTTGCTCACGGCTAGAATGATCTCTCACAGCCACATATGGACCTCATGATTCTCTGATTGAGTCAAACTATGGTTGAAAGTCAGCCCTCCTAACCTTGACCACCACTTGACGAATCAAACTCCTGTTCGAAAAGTCATAACTTTGATACTATCATCAAATGGATGAACTAATTCGTGACA